CCATGTGAAGAGTTATCAATATTTTGTCATCCTTTAACTCTCTATGAGGCGTATCATATCTCAATACACATATGTGAATGAGGCTCATTCGTTACCACACTAGAGATGGTAATCACAGATAATGCCTTATTTTGAGGTAAGATAATAATATAACGTTTAATTGTCGGATCAATTGTGAACATGTTTAATTTTCTTAAATGAAAATGGTGCTGTATACTTGTAAAGATATGGCGTAACGGTAAAATTGGGAGTTTGAAATAACCTCGTCTCAGTAGTTTCAGGAGATCTATCTATGACGGGGAATTTATTCATGACTGACCAGAAATGGACGCCGCACTTCCATTTTAAGACCTGCATAGCTTGATGCCCATTCATATACACATTGGTACGTCGAGCATTCAAGCTCACAAAATGGTACATGCTGTTACACACATAATAAAATGCAGTCACGTGCACGTGGTCTTACTTATACACGAGTATCGACGTTTTCGTCTTCGATGGTTCGAATCCTGCAAGCATCACTTTTTTTGGTTAACACTTCGGCCTTCCACGCAGACGACCGGCGTTCGATCCCCGAAGTCGTCGTACGCATGGAATATCAGAGAAAGCGTTTTTCTCCTGCCCACACAACTCCAACAACCCATGTGGAGTGTTCTGGGGTGGATGTTCCGGTATCTGTGCTGTAGCATTCAAGTGAGATGGCACTATAAAAGATGCCGTTGGAAGCACGGTCCCACTACAAAACAGAACACAATACATGTCCAGCACACACGCAGGCATACACACATTGGGAGATATTAGCCAGGTGGTATAGGGCTAGTAGATACATGTAGTTAGCGCCTGACAAGGCAGCTCCTGAAAAATCGTCAATGTTGAATTAATTAATGTATATGCTTATTGTATTAATTGTATATCTGCGCTTTAGAGTGGCTTATGTTAGCTAGATAGGGCGCTATATCAAATGTTGTATATTATTATTATTATGGAAACAAAACGAAAGTAGATTTTATGATTAGAGTTACTCCCCTTTGTACATTCAGCCTTGACATTTGATGTTGACAGGGGACGACCGTGTCCTATCAGTTGTTGTTATCTGTGAAGATTTGATAAAGAAAACGGCGGGATACACGTATAACTACACCAGGCTTAGGTAGGTTCAGCATCACACTTCCGTTCTACTTCACAAAACATTCACCACGTGACATGACACCCACAGTGGTCACGGAAAGGGTCGTGCTACGAACGAAGTTGTCATTTGGTCAATGGCCAGAAAATAGCAAAGGGACGTAATTCATAGTATGATGTAGGTTTTGTTATGTATAGATTTCACCTTTCATGCTGATTTTTCTTTTATTTCTTTAACTTCTTTACTAGTTTATTAGCGTGTTTATACGCGACAGTGTTGCTAGCTATGTAGCGGAACTGGACTGGGTCGATCGTCGATTTGTAGTCGTGGGAGGGGTCAAGTATAGTCGAGGGGGTTAAATAATTAACTGGCAATCATTTTAAAGTGACGTAGTTCAGTGCGGTGCCCCTGTGGAAAAACCAAGGTGTTTTTTCTAGGCCTTTGTGTATTGAAGAACATGTTCTACAGCTCGATATTTTGTGCCTGTGGACAGTTATACAGTTGTAGTCGGTTCATTCGTTTCAAATTTGTACAGAATAACAATTTTAAATGTAGTGGTTAATTAAATAATTTAAACATTTACTAATCGTTACCAGATAACCTACATAGAGCCTGGTTTTTATCTTCTACCCTAGCAATTTTATCTCACTTGTATTCACTTAATCATCTTTTTCGAACATGCCAAAATCATAACCATCTTTATGACACCTCTCAATTGCATATATAGGCAGGTACACGTAGCAAAACCAAATATAAATCCTTTATCATATAATACTTCAAATACCTAAAATATCCTGAAAATTAATACAATTATACTGAATACCAGTAACTATGTTCGGTGATTTTGTAATTTCTTAAATTATAAGCCCCCCTCAAAAAAAATAAAAATCAGAACATTTTTTTCTCATAAAATCTCTACCGACCTACCCTATTTTATTCAGTCATCTTACCTTAAACAAACATATTATATATTTCGGCTTACATATATTAATGTAACACTTTAATTGTGTTTGATTTTTCTTAAATTATTACCTTGTGATATGGAATTGTTTTTCATGTCTGTATAGGCCTGCGGAAGAAAGTGACACAATGAGTGCCTATATCCCTCCGTCTGAAGAAGAATCATCTGGGGATGAAGTTGAAGGTACATCTGTCCGGAGACGCCACGTGTGGAACCGAAACGCTCGATCCGTGGAACCCCCCAGAGATGATGCCATCTACTACCCACAAGATGACACCTTTGGGCTGTTCGACCAGGTAATAGGGGTGTTACAATGTATAGGCCTTAATATAACCCTTTCTCCACTGTAGACCATAATGGACTCGTCCAGATCAAAGCATGGTAGAGAATACAGAATGAATATATTGTAATACGTATCCCGATATATTGTCACAAGAAAAAAGGTGTTTCAATTTAAAACAAAATTCTTGTCAGAATGTTATCAAACTTTTAATCATATATAATATGGATCACACAGATTTAAGATTTTTGTCAAACCAACCATCTATTCCAAAATTTAAAATGACTCCCACCACTGGTAACAGCTCGTTTTATGGTTACATGGCATATATCTGTTAAAAAGTGTAGTAATTGACAAAACTTAAATAGCAAGCAAATTCATAAGTACAGTATAAACTTTTGAAAAATATTGTGATACAGATATAATGTCATGTCTGTATTGCGAAACAATACGATACATATCTGTGTATTGCGATGTACAGGTTTTCCAATATATTATGACATCCCTATCGGTAAGCTTATATAACTGGGGCCTAAGAATTTACCTTTTCCTATATATATATATATATTTTATGGGGCAAAGAAGTAATTCCAACAGTGTGGACAAGTTTAGGTTGTCAAATTTTCGGAGCAATCCGCTCCTTTTTCAAGACACAGTGAAACAAAACAGTCACATGTACATATACATCATATTACAAGAAGATAGAATTGATATACTATAATTGAAAATATAGCTATTATATAAAACCAATAGTCCCCTCGGCTAAAGACAGCCGAAAGCAGCAATTAAGCTGAGAGCATCGCGGACAAGGAACGCTGTCACAATACACCAAGAGTGTATCCCGATATATATTGCAATACAGAATGAATATATTGCGATACGTATCCCGATATCTTGTCATAGGAAAGATGCGCTCGTTTTAATAATAACTTGTTGTCAGGATGTACGTTATCAAACTTAATCATAAATAATATGGATCACATCGATTAAAAGATTTTTGTCAAACCAACCGTCGATTACAAAATCTGAACTATTAAAAGCCTGCTTTATGCTTATTGGCAAATCTGTTTTAGTAATTTGCAAAGTTAAAACACCAAGCACATACATAAAAATATGCTTTTGAAAAACATTGCGATACAGCAATACTTCATCTCTGTATTGTGGTACGATACGATATACTTGTGTATTGCAATATATCTGTTTTCCGATATATTGTGACAGCCCTAGTGTTATAAATTCACAATGAAGACACCGGGTTAGACAATAAGAGTAGCCTGATAGTCTGAGACTAGTGAAATCTCCAGCTGGACTACTACAGGGCTAGACAATAAGGGTAGCCCGATAGTCTGAGACTAGTGAAATCTCCAGCTCGACTACTGCAGGGCTAGACAATAAGGGTAGCCCAATAGTCTGTGACTAGTGAAATCTCCAGCTGGACTGCAGGGCTTGACAATAAGGGTAGCCCGATAGTCTGAGACTAGTGAAATCTCCAGCTGGACTAGTGCAGGGCTAGACAATAATGGAAGCCCGATAGTCTGAGACTAGTGAAATCTCCAGCTGGACTGCAGGGCTTGACACTAAGGGTAGCCCGATATTCTGTGACTAGTGAAATCTCCAGCTGGACTAGTGCAGGGCTAGACAATAATGGAAGCCCGATAGTCTGAGACTAGTGAAATCTCCAGCTGGACTGCAGGGCTTGACACTAAGGGGAGCCCGATATTCTGTGACTAGTGAAATCTCCAGCTGGACTTGTGCAGGGCTAGACAATAAGGGTAGCCCGATAGTCCGAGACTAGTGAAATCTCCAGCTGGACTGCAGGGCTAGACACTAAGGGTAGCCCGATATTCTGTGACTAGTGAAATCTCCAGCTGGACTAGTGCAGGGCTAGACAATAAGGGTAGCCCAATAGTCCGAGACTAGCGAAATCTCCAGCTGGACTACTGCAGGGCTAGACATTAAGGGTAGCCTGATAGTCTGAGACTAGTGAAATCACCAGCTGGACTGCAGGGCTAGACAATAAGGGTAGCCCGATAGTCCGAGACTAGTGAAATCTCCAGCTGGACTACTGCAGGTCTAGACAATAAGGGTAGCCCGATAGTCTGAGACTAGGGAAATCTCCAGCTGGACTGCAGGGCTTGACACTAAGGGGAGCCCGATATTCTGTGACTAGTGAAATCTCCAGCTGGACTAGTGCAGGGCTAGACAATAAGGGGAGCCCGATAGTCTGAGACTAGTGAAATCTCCAGCTGGGCCAGTGCAGGGCTAGACAATAAGGGTAGCCTGATAGTCTGAGACTAGTGAAATCTCCAACTGGACTGCAGGGCTAGACAATAAGGGTAGCCCGATAGTCTGAGGCTGGTGAAATCTCCAGCTGGACTACTGCAGGGCTAGACAATAAGGGGAGGCTGATAGTCTGAGACTAGTGAAATCTCCAGCTGAACTACTGCAGGGCTAGACACTAAGGGTAGCCCGATATTCTGTGACTAGTGAAATCCCCAGCTGGACTAGTGCAGGGCTAGACAATAAGGGTAGCCCGATAGTCTGAGACTAGTGAAATCTCCAGCTGGACTGCAGGGCTTGACACTAAGGGTAGCCCGATATTCTGTGACTAGTGAAATCTCCAGCTGGACTAGTGCAGGGCTAGACAATAAGGGTAGCCCGATAGTCTGAGACTAGTGAAATCTCCAGCTGGGCCAGTGCAGGGCTAGACAATAAGGGTAGCCTGATAGTCTGAGACTAGTGAAATCTCCAGCTGGACTAGTGGTAACTCCAACAATGTTAGAGGTTTAACACGGCGAGATGCTGTTGACAGGCGCCGCGTAACAGTCGGCAAAACCATATCCAATAGAGAGAAAAAAATGACCAGCAGCCTCTTATGTTATAGGAATGGACTAGTGGTTCTAAAAACTGCTAGCCTGATTGATCAATCAAGATGTGATATAACTTATCTTTTTTAATAACATTGGGTTAGCGGAATTTACTCATGGACAAGTAAAAATTGGAAACTACCACCCCAGTTGTTAAATGTTATTCAAAAATAATTTCTAGCCCTGAGACATGAAATATAAAGGCAAAATAACTGAATCTTTTATTTCAATTTAACATGTTAAACATGTTCATTGTTTGTGTATAAAGTAAAACTTTGATGATAGAATAAAGCATATGTGTACTATAGTATATGTGTACTATAGCATATGTGTACTATAGCATATGTGTACTCTAGTATATGTGTACTATAGTATATGTGTACTATAGTATATGTGTACTCTAGTATATGTGTACTATAGTATATGTGTATTTATAGCCATACAAGCTTCAACTAATTATATACTGTAAAATCATAAATTTTCGTGGGACATTGATCATGAATTTCGTTTATTTCATGGATAACCAAAATCCACGAAATTAAATCACAACAAAAATATAAATTTGGTAAGATATAGATAGGGGAAAAACATAAATTAGCGTAATATAATGTCCTTAAAACAGGCAAGTATATGAAAACCACAAAATTTTAAGCCCTCGAAAATAAACGATTCTACAGTAGTATGTCATGATATTACTCAAAAGATTCATAATTTGTTTTGATTTACAAAACAAAATCCCTACCAAAGGGAATCGACTTGGGTCCACTGCCGTATGTCTATGCATTTGTCAAACTTTTTATAGTTATTTAATATCTCTGCATGTTTTACATTAATAGGGCCGAGATTACGAGCCGTTGAACATCACACACAAATATACAGACGAGGAGAGGAAAACCCTAGGGACCTATGACAGCCATGATTACCTCCCTTCCAACAGCGAAGTTTACAGAAAGTGGCTGAAACTGCAGGGCCCATCTAGGTAAACTTACTGTGTAGTGCCATGGTCGACCTTTCCTTCGGCTTCACTCTTATATTATTTTGACTTTTGACTTAAAATGAGGAAGTTTCCCTTTTTTCCTATTTTTGTGTCATATTAAATAAGTTGATGCACTTAATTTTAGCTCCTTTGGTTTTTGTTCAATTTCCTTTTAATTATATACCTGTAATTCTGGGGGGGTTTTGCCAATCATTACCTTCAAAAGGATGTCCAAAAATTATTTATGACAAACACTAATATAAATAACTAAAGAAAGATTTTTGTTTAAATTTTTTCACAATATTCTTAAAGTATGGGCTTGATATATATAGCTTCTGTCTTCAACTTCACTAGATGAAGCTCTTTGAGAATGTCAAGTTTTCTCTATTATCTTTCAGCTATAACTTGGGTCGGTGGTTGATTATGGGTCTCATCGGATTCTTTGTGGGTCTCATTGGATTTCTATTGCACGACCTCATAGAGCAAATCGCCAAGATGAAGTGGGAAATAGCCCAGAAGTTCATTAAGGTAATGTATGAACTAATACTGATTAAAAAGAACATGCATTCAAGTCATATCCTTGTGACGACAACAATGACACATCACCCTGACAATCTCTACTATTGTGTGATTGGGTTTTTTGTGTTTCTTCGGCATAATAAAATCTTTATTGCCCTTGCACTAGGGAAATCGTGATTCTTAGAGGTTGATAACGTTTCACGAGGGCAAGTTCCGTACAGTAAAGGACAATAAATGTAGGTAGCTGAATACAGCTGTTGTTGTTGCTGCTTAACCGTCGTCTTTATAAGTCAGGTCCATCCATCGTCGAGGGTTTCAACCCCTAACCTTGAACTCTCTCCGGATGGTGGGTCAGCAGGGGTGATCAGTCCCTACTCTCCGACGGTTGGCTTCCAGCTACTGTCTCCTCTCCGCATCCACAGCCATAGTGATGCCCGTTCCGCTTCGTTCCCAAACTCTTTCACTGCCGTCTTCCTTACTCCTCCTGTGATACCTACTATCTATATATATCTATAATAATACCTTTTTTGTAGAGATATGTTTTGTAATATATGTTTTGTAATGAGACATAATTTGAAACAAGTCATATTGTGTAATATACAAGACATACATGTACATTTGTTATTATAAGACATGATTTTCTATCTTTGACAGGATGGAGACTTTGGTGTGGCGTCCGTATTTGCTACAGGATACAGTCTCATCTTTATACTTTTCAGTGCATTTATTGTTGTTGTAAGTATAATATATATGTTATAAATATTAACCATCGTATGGCATTGCCACTATATAACCCTACCAATGCCATGGACCAATTGTTGACATCATCATTATTATGACGTCATAATTGTTACGTTGGATACCACTGACCCTCCCTGACCGATGGCTGTTCTATTTATTGAACAAGCATACACGATACATACACTATTTGAACTAAATGCTGAATAACAGTAAGTGTTATAGAACTTTTTATGAGATGAACAGTTTCCAAAAATGGTAAATATAAGTATTGAACTGCTTTCAGTAGGCACTCATAGACAAAGGCAAATCCAACATACCGCATTTCATTGAATTCACCTTTGTCCAGTTGGCATTCATATTGCCTATGATGCCAACTGAAAGCAGTTCAATGCTTATTGTACATTGTAGTAAATGTTCAAAAAGAAAGTTGGAGGCAGATTCCACAATATTCCATCTTCATAAAAGAGGCGCTTTATTATTCTAATTCAGAAACATATTGCATGTACGTGGTCATGCATGCACTGACATTGTATATTTAAAAGATTTTTTTATTTTTAATTTAGTTTAAATATTATTTTGATCTCATGAAATCTAGATCAAGTTCTAGATTAAATTAAATTGTTTTTGTATTAAATTTAATAATGTTAAATTTTTATTCACTTTACCATAAAAAAAAATCAATATCATGCATCTTGCATTTGTTTCATTCGCTTCCTTGCTTACCACCAAACCTGGGTAGTTTAAACAATGAAATTAATTTCTATTAAATGATTGAATTTTCATTGGCAATGAAACATATGTATTTTGACCAAGGTAAACAAATAAATTATATATATTTTTCCATTAACGATTTGTTTCGTTACAGTTTCTGCGTCCGAGTGCCAGTGGCTCAGGTATTCCCGAAGTGACAGGTTTCCTCAACGGTACTCAAATTCGCCACATTTTCAATGTGAAGACATTACTTGTGAAGTTTTTTTCCTGTGTGGCGGCTGTGGGATGTGGCTTACCTGTTGGACCAGAGGGACCGATGATTCACATGGGGTTAGTGATCACGAATATTGAAAAATAACATGTATTTCTGTTAATGTGCACCAGATAAGACAAATTCTAGTGTCACATGTATTCGAAACCAGTTTTATCAGGTATTGCTATGACATTTGAAGATACTTCTACAGTATTTCAAATAATAAAAAATTGCAGATTTTGTCAAGTATTCTGTTAGAGAATTACAAAATAAATGGGTCTAAATGTGTTCTCTGGCCTTCCAAAAGTTATACCACGGCAATATGATGGTCGAGTTCTGCTTGCAATGTCCAGGTTTGACCACTGAAATCTCAGGGAAGCCCCGCGTAAATTTAGCGCAGATCTATTTATATATGTCACGTGGTTGTTTCGAAAGTGAGGCAGTGAGGATAACAACAATAGCACGCTGTCATGTGCCATGTCGGACTCAACTAGCGGACAAGACAGCAATACTATACGTAAATAATTGTTTTCAAAGGTCATGTATGATGCAAGTGTAGTATTCCTACCTATATGTTGTTGTTATATATAACGGTATTGATACCTCATGCCTGTCACGATTTTTGCATGCATCTTTTTCTTTCGCCGCGATGTTTACATTTGGCCTTGTTGATGACGCACGTGCGGTAAAATTACATCACTGAACTGGGTCAATTGAGAGTTTTAGACTGTCAGGTGACGATTTAGGATTTCTTTGATATAGTTAATACAGATATGGCTGGTAGAGTCTACCAAAGTTACCTAGGGGTGAAAGGGTTAAATGTTGTGAAGTATGTGGGCCCAAAAAACCGTAATCATTTATGGTTGAGTCACAGTAGAAGTGATTCCTGGCCACTATTTATCTTTGTCTGGAAATCATATACTGAGCCATATCTGTATAACATTATTAATTTTGAGTGCATTCCTACCTCCATCTCTCTGTATTCATTTAACGATTGAATCTATCTTTGGTTGATTTCAAGGGTGATGAATTGTCATATCTAACAATGCGAAGCAGTTCATGTTGAATTTGTTTCAAGACCAACTCAATTCATCACCCCATGAAATTGACCTTATCAAAATTCAAACCTTATATTTCAATCAAGATGAAGGTTTTTTTTTCAATTGAATGAGTAGCTTCAATAAAATATAAAATCTCAAACAAGTGGTATCTTCTTTATTTAAACATAGTTATCTCCCTTTGCAAAATCTGAAAATACATACTCATACACACTGGCAATGTTAATCTGGTCAATTTCATTGGTAAATGAAACTACATGTAACATTTGGTAGTTGCATCGAGTCCAACTTGAGAAGAAATTGACACATATAATTATGGTGTAGATACCTGGAAAGTTTGTCTGGATTTTTGAACAACCAACCTGTAATGTTTGATTGGAGTAGAGGTTAACCTTATCTGTTTAAACCTAATTATATATAATGTGTGGCAGGGCTTTGGTTGGAGCAGGGTTGAGTCAGTTCAGATCGGAGACTTTGGGGATCAATCTGCCGTTCTTTCGACGATACAGAACTTCTGAAGACAGGTAAAGTGATTGCTGAGTTGTATGTAAAATTAAGATATGTTCCAATGAATTATTTTTTTATTGGATTTTTTGTTAATTAACATAGTCTTATTTTTGAATGATTTAATGGACTATCACACCAGTTTCAGAAAAATCATCCTTATTATTTCAGGAGAATCAACTTGAATTCGAAATTTGTTGCCAAACATGCATCCCAGTATAAAAAAAAAAAAAAAGTTTAAAGATAAATGCTGAATTGAAATTTAATTGAAGTTTTTTTGTATTCTTCCTAAAATTAGTTGGTTTGATTGTTATCATGTGACTGAATACAAATTGATATTAATGTTAAGGAAACCGTGATTGATCTTACTCTTGTTATTTAATAGTGATATTGACATGTTTAAACGGCTTTTGTGAACAGACTAATCAAGTGTCTTATAAAACGAAATCTGAAAAAAAGTAGATAAGAAATAAATATAACTATTTTAACTATTTGCATACATTTGATAATACTTGTTTAATTCACAAGAAAGAAAGAAAAAAGGAAAAAAAACTAACTTGACCTTGGCCTGTTTCTTTTAGCTTTGGTTGAAAAAAGTCTTGCATGGAACTGATGACAAAAAGCTATGATTGTGCAAGATTTCAAACAGAATGAATTTCAAGACTATTAATGGATTTCTATTCTCGTCTTTTGCAGGAGAAACTTTATATCCGCGGGGGCAGCAGCAGGGGTGGCCTCGGCGTTCGGTGCCCCTGTAGGGGGCCTCCTGTTTTCTATGGAAGAGGTGTCTTCGTTCTGGACCGTTACACTGTCCTGGCAGATCTTCTTTTGTTGTATGGTGTCTGCCTTCACCACTGATCTGTTTAATTCTGCATTTGATGGATTTTCCTACACAGGAAACTTTGGACAGTTTAAAACACAGCGATACATCCTCTTTAATGTAAGATATATATGATATTTAAAAAGATATTTTATACCGTGAACATTTTCCCCCAATCAAACCTTTGCCCTTCAGCGGTTAAATCCATATTCCAGGGACATACAAAAGTCCTTAAAAATGGTGTTTGTTATTCCCTGCTTAAACGTTCAGCATTTAGGGTGATGTATAATGTGACCGGGCGGAATGCTGTGCTGGGTGCCTTCGGCATGGTATTTAAGTGAGATAGCACCATAAAGTCGGCATCAGATCTGTGCTATCACAAGAAGGCAAGCACACCAACATACCCTGTCTCCTGCACACACACGCGCAAGCATGCATACACTACACACATGGAGGCACGTCCTTAAATGACCTTAGCTGTTAATAGGATGTTACACAACTTTTATGAGAAAAAGAATAGATGAGCTTAAGAGAATATAATTAAAAGTTCAGCCGGGCTAGGCCAGGATTCAAACCCTGGGCATAAGATGGTTATGCTACTGTTCTAACCATTTGAGCCACCTAGGGCCTGTTCGTTTATGTGGAACAACCTGTACATCCGTTTTTAAATGTAACATTTTTAGGTATAAATACTGGCGGACCTGACAAATTTTATGCAGGCTTTGTCAAGGCTTGCCTGAAAGCAGCATCAGATTATTGGATCCGACCTTATTTCATAAACGAACAACTCTGGTTCAACCGTTTGGACCGCGATAAATGAAAACAGCCCTGGTCAACAGAACTATCATGGTCCAACTGTGCTACAGTTATATATCTAAATGGATGTTATGGTGAGGTGACTGTATTAACACAGTGCAGTGGGACAGGGATCCTTAATATAAAGTAAGCGTCTCATTGTTTTCTACAGATTGACAAGGGAATAGATGTCAACATCCTGATGTTCATACCGACAGTCATTATCGGGGTCATTGGTGGTCTGCTCGGGGCCATCTTCACCATCCTCAACCTGAAAATGACGAGGGGGAGGAAGAAACTACTGTCCACCATTTCTGAACACACCATTCTGCAGAAGCTGCTTCGGATCTTTGAGCCGGCAGTCATCATGGTAATTAATGACGCTCCTCATTTTAATATTTGTATATCGTTTCAAAAAATAAAAGCAGGCGAGTAATACAAATCTCACCCTGGTAAAATACTAGCCGCTTCCTACTGACTCTGGTAGGGAGAAAATTTCTTAAGCTCATTCGGTAGAGCGTAGGGCTAGTAAAGCAGAGTGAATTTTTTTTTTCCAGTCAATTTTTAGTCAAAATCCAAAATAGGATGAGCCATTCTAGTTAAAATTGAAAGAAACTGAAAAAAATGATAGGTCATTTTTTTTTTTGAAAGGCCCCTTGAATGACCTTTGATTGGGTACAACAATAGATACATATGTAGTTACTTAAAAAGTTTCAATGGCTATTGTTCATCCTGGTAAATTTATTGGTAGCCAATTGGCGGCATGTTTGCGTCACTCATTGGAGTTGTACAGTTCAAAGAGCCTTCAGTTGATGGGAGGCAGATTAATACCTCCTTTTCTCTCTGTGGAGGTTCTTGTGGTGTAACCTTTCCTGATGAAATTAGCTTCTGGGCCTTTATTCATGAAGCTGAGCTCATGCTCAAGCATGGATTCTTTGCTCAAACCATGTCAAACGATCAAAACGTCATATGTAAACACTGAAAACAGCTTTCGGCGCTAATTCTCTCCAGTGATCTTCATTGACAAAACAAGATTTAAAAAAAAATCATAACAGGAACAAAAAATTCGGCTTGAGCACAAAATCCATACTTGAGCATGAGAACGGTTTATTGAATACGGGCCCAGGGCTCAATCTTGTTCTCTGTCGAGAGAGAAAACATCCAGCCCTGAGTCTCTCTCATGGCCGATTCTCTTCGGCATGTTCAGCTTCAGCAGAGGCATAAGGAATTGAAACCCTGTAGATCTGCTGTGTCTGTGTCCCTGCGTTGCTTCACATCCTGGGTGCAAAATTTCTCAGAGTCCCTCAGTTAGCTATAGGATGATTGACAAGTCATTTGTAATGTGTATTTTAACCCATTCAGCCATAAAATCACATTTGAACCTTACCAAATCAAAGACTGGGCAAGTCCAATTTAGATATGTAGGGATGAATGAGCTAAAGAGCTTAAGTTTGTTGTTTTTGGACTGGAATGCTGTGTTATTGTTCTAGTGCAGTATAACCATCCTCGATACTCCCGGGTTTACGATTACCTCTGCTCTCTGCATGCACCCCTGGTAACATGTCATAGCAAAATTGAAGGCACGCCGCTAGCTATTTGATTGGTCTCACGTAAAAAGAAACCTGACCAATCGGCTAGGCTGATACCAGTCTTTTGAAGATTACAGAGGAGCAACACCCGACTTCAAAGCAATTCAATGTTACTGTTACCCAACCACAGGATCAAACTTAGTCTTGTTGTCTTATCCAATGGGTGGCGAACACTAAGCCTTCGATTTCGCTATGACATATTCCAGGGGTGCAGAAAGCGAAAGTGGGTTTAACCTAGGGCTGCAACGATATATCGCGATATTTTGAATACGGTATGATACACAATATTTTTGGGGAGGTCACGATACACAAGCGATATATTGTCGTTTCTGAATTTAGCCTACTGATATCTGTTCCAAAATGGTGAGTGACAGATCCAGCTCGGCGTGCACGACGAAAGACGTGAATTGTGTGAAACATTAAATTCATGCCTACTTTGAACAAAGTCTATATTTAGTTATAATATTGTAGCATATCTTTTCTCTTTGCTTCTACTGTTATCATTTGTATTGTGATACGTATTGTATCGTGACCACAGTATCGTGATACGCATTGTATCGTCATGTTAACTCATTCACCCCTGAAGACGCATTTAAACTCATCCAATTTAAAGGTTGGAATAGTTCATTATAAAATTTCAGGGGTGAATGAGTTAATGTATCGTTGCAGCCCTAGTGTAACCCCTGGAGGATCGAGGATTAGTATTCCGTCTTTTCGTATTGCAGAGTTATCTGCTCTTGTGAGCAGGTATTGATTGTTACGTCATTGGTTTGTGTGAGAAAATTACGTCGTTTTCTCAAAAATTTATGACATCACTTTCACAAACAAATGACGAAACAATCAATACCTGTTCACAAGAGCAGATAACTCTGCAATATGAAAAGACGGAATAACCTGCCTGCTGTAATTCATGATGTAGATATCATTACTAAGACTGTTACTGTGTCTTTTTTCTTGCAGATTATCATTACGTTGTTGGCCGTGTTTTTACCTGCAGTTTTTCCCTGCAGCAGGTACACCTGTAAGGAAGGCGCTACAGGTGCCACCAGGTAATTTACTGGACCCAGCTGTTGTATAATTTCAACTTTTTTTTTCTCTGTAAACCTTGCTATAATGCCATCATTTGTCCACAGAAATGTTGGCATTATAAAGTGTTTTGGCGATAAATTGAGGGAAATGTATAAAGGAATTCTTCGTAAAACAAGAAAAATGGTGAGATATATTGAAAGTAAACGAGGTGTCAGATAAAATGAGGGGCATTACATCAAAGTTTTACTATACATATATGTATTTCTAATATGGTAATGATCAATCAGTATCAAAACAGAAAAACTTACTATGGTTGATATTTGAATTTAATTTAATTGTGGAAATATAGTGATTTAAATGTTTTCTGGACTTTGCTAAGTTAATGATGCACTCAGGAAGAAAATTGAATCATTGGTGATTTCATAATTGTTTTACTCGAACATTTGTACTGTTTAAAAATAGACTTATTTTAAAAAAGTCAGTTTGAAATTTGAATTACAGGATATGTAGCAAACGGAAGCTTGATATTTTGCCATCATTGATGCATGAATAAATAAGTAAAAAGTGTTGATCATCAAACAGAGAATTTGTCTGTGAGTTGTAAGAACAGTTTTTTAGTTGACAAGTCACAATTACAGTTTAAATGTTTGGTATTTATAGTGTCAACTGTTTGAACGACACGAGGAACCCCCTCCATGTTGAGGGCTCTGTGGTCAAGTACACCTGCTTTGAGGGTCAGACATGGAAAGATGACCAATACACATGGAAAACCAACGGCACCTACAACGAAAGTAAGTACTTAACTCATTTTGTTTTTGTAATTAATTATTTTTTTCATGTGTGAGATTGCTAATATTTGTTTGGTTACATTTTGACCATGTTTATGATATCTGTTTTATATTGAGCATGAAAATGGAAATTATTGTTTAAAGAAATAACTGCTTAAAATAGTTGAGGTAGAAAATTAAGACAGAAACTCAATACATTTCCAGTGCAAGTTCCTCTATAAACATTGCTAGAAGAAATTGTGTTCATAGGACTATGAATGCAATTTGATCAGTGTCATTTTAAAGCTTCTCTTTCTGCCTTAAATAACATGAGACTGTGTGTATTTAGATCAATAATAACTATAAAATTTAAATATATATTGAACAGAATTTGTCAATGCTCATGCAGGTATGAATACAATTCAGTTACATATTTATCATGAACACTATGTTTATGGAATTTGTATGTAACCGATTTGCATTCATACCAGCATGAACACAATTTTTTTTGTCAAATTTTTGAAGACACCATGGAATTAAAACTTGACTGGTCTATGAGGTGACATGTTCAACTGTGAACTTACATTAAAACATATTTGATAAGTTTCTCAAAACTGTAACCTTACAAAGCCAGTTTTCATTGAAATGTTTCTGAAAGCACTTAAAATGTTATATTGTTAACCCTTTCACCCCTATGTAACTTAACTAAACCCTACCATGCATTGATCTGGATGAGTCCATTATAGTCTATAGTGGTGAAAGGGTTAAAGAAAGGCTCAACAGTGTCTTTTCAGAAATTTGCTCCTTCAACTATGGTCTTTTTGAAGATTTATTAAAATATAGCCTAAATTTCTGTGAAACAATTTTAAATCAAATTTGAAAAAGTGTCGTCTTTAATTGTAGTTATAATACAACACTTTATTTTTTTATGTTCCTAGTGGCTACATTGATGTTCGGCACCCTAGAAAACGCAGTGAAGCACTTGTTTTCCCGAGACACACATCTCCAATTTGGATTCGCCTCGCTTCTTTCCACTCTCGTGATCTATTTCATCATGATATGCTGGGCGACGGGAACCTCCGTATCCTGTGGGGCCCTTGTTCCTATGCTGTAAGTAACATAATGGATGGGTCCATTGACGGTCTGCTAGCCTTTCAATAGAAAGCTTGATTATCCACAACAACATAAACGGAATGTTCAGAGGTGTGAATCGATTATTACCTTTCTAATGGCTTATAACAAGTAGTTATGTGGGGGAAAAAACTTTTGTGGATAATGAAATTTCTTGTGAGGATTTAAAACTAACCATAAAAAAAACAGATCTGTGTATTGATTGATCCTTTAAATATAGGTCTCCGACCCCCAAAACCCAAATCACCCAACCCCACCCCCCTCCTTTTCGACCATAAAATGTTTTTGTCTACTGCCCTGCCTTTGTCATAATTATGTTATAAATATTTTACACTTAAAACATTTTGCTGTAATGGCGAAACCATATGATGAAGCTGTACATGTTTAGCACCATGACAGCTAGAAACACTTGTTTCTATTCAAATTTTCACAAAAAGACAATTCTCAGTTTTCAATTTGTGTTTGAACAGTTCCAATTAAATCAGTATGGTGTGCATTGATGATACGAGAAAAAGGCGAGTTTGATCATCGACTCTGGTCTTACTAGAGTACGATCAAACTAACGACCCTTTGACCCCTATTATAGGTTGGTGGGCGGGCTGTATGGCCGCCTGATTGGAATCCTGATGACGACCATGTTCGGAGTACACAGTGGAGAAAACCTTTCTTACTGGGCATGGATGGACCCCGGAGTTTTCGCACTGATTGGAGCGGCCTCATTCTTCGGTGGGGTGACCAGGTTGAATCTAGCGGTCACTGTGATAATGGTATGCACAATTAATGGACTGATCTTTTGGTCACTGGGTTTCTAGCTAGACAGTTTGTTTGTTTTTGTGTTTTATAGTATAATGTTTCTGTGATGTTATCTGCTGACCACAAAATTGAGACTGCAAATGCCAATACATTGTATTGAAAACCATAATAATTTTGAGATAATTTTGTTCAAATCTAGATCTGGAGTAAGCTTTAAACACAGGAGTTTTAATCAATGACAGAGCCAGAGATGGTCAGTCTTACAACCGAAAGATAATCTTGAAAATAATCAGGAGAGAAAAGGGAGATGGTTGTCAGTTTCCTTTTGCCCCTTATCAAGTTTTGGCCATGATCTGAAAGTTATTACTTTCCAGTATGTAGTAGTGATAATTTTGAATTGTTTATTAAATACAGGTCTAGTTTGAATTTCAATCTTCTTTTTAACATAATAATACACAAAGTTGATATGGATTTGAATATCTGCGCTCTGAACATATTGGCAAATGTTAGTCATTCGCCAAATATTTGCTTGTAAATTTTATAAAATTAGTTGAAATTTCTGCCACCAGATGGAGCTGACTAATGATGTACAGGTACTGTTGCCTGTCATGGTATCTGTGATGATCTCTAAGTGGGTCGGTGACTTCTTCACCCATCCGGTGTATCACGCCCTGATGGAACTCAAGTGTATTCCGTTCCTAGACCCGGAACCTCGTGTCACCATAGAAAAAAACAGGTAAATCAATGATTTATACATCAAAATCTTAATCAGTAAACCATGCCGGTTTCAAGAGCGGACATGGTCTAGACTAAAAGAGTTTGACACACATGTGCTATAATTTAAGAGATAAAATTCTGGGACCAAAAGCAGTGAAACAATGCTGGTTTCCACAGTACACAGTGTCCAGATTGAACAGGTTTTGAATACTGTATAAGAGGACAAATAATGAATGCTGGTATAGACAAGGATCTGAATTAGACAGGTTAAACTTTAGTCTCTGGTATTGAAATGCTTGTATCAATGAAACTGAACATTTTTAGTGTATATGTTACATAAGCGGATCACTATATATACATGTACCATAGTTATCCCACATTAAAGCAAGGGGGGCCAATATGTTAATTCATTGTAAGGGGGTATGTTTAATACAGATTTTTTTTTTGATTTTATTTTTGATTTTTTACCAAACTGTAGTAGGTGGGCTTATAACCATGCATGGGCTTAATGCCGATTAAGTACAATACTGTTATACAAAGCTTGAAGAAGAAAATACATTTGCCAGGGTTTGTTGATCGTTGCGATATTTTACAGACTCAATCTGGAGCTTTACTTGGCTCGTCATGTCATGTCTTCGCCTGTGATAAGCATACGTACCAAAAGCTCTGTACTAGACCTTGCCAAACTTCTTCTGGAAACATCTCATGGAGGATTTCCTGTTGTCAAGGTGATCGAAAGAAGTGGAGACGAGGTGTTCCAGGGGATGATTACCAGGTAAATTATAAATCATCATTTGTCTTATCACATTACTGACTCGTTTAACTATGTCATACGGCCATTGCATAAAAATATGGCAACACACACGTAAAGGTGTTGCGATTTGTAAAACCGTTTGATCATATTCCTACGCAAGTACAGGTACAGGTACTTCTTTTATTTACTATACCACATGATACATTTACTGTTTGTTTAGCCCTCATTTCTCACATAACAACAAACAATGTAAACAACATAATATATTACATAGTAATGAACTCATTCACCCCTGAAGACACATTTGAACTCCTCCAATTCAAAGGTTGGAATAGTCCAGGATTAAAAATTTCAGGGGTGAATGAGCAATTTTTGATATTGGGTGATAATGGATTTTACTGTTGGAGGACGAAAATTTGACTACACAAAAAATTTGACTACACGAAAATTTGACTACACAAAAAATTTGACTACACAAAAAATTTGACTACACAAAAAATTCTCAGTGCACAGTATACGGATGTAAATTGTTGATTTTAGGTTGGAGTTGTCTGTCCTGCTCCGACATGAAGAACTCTTTGAGTCTGATGGATCGATGGAAGATTCTGGTGACTCTGGGAGTGGAGAGGCAGACCCGTCTTGTTTAGAATACGAACAGGTTGGTTAACGATTCGAGTCAAGATGTATAAAACAAATTTAGTGATAGCTCCATCTTAGACTGTTCAACCTCTCCTAGCAAACTCAATTTTGTCGTAATACCGGGAAGGTGCCATAACTTTCATCACTAATATGGCAACTTACTTATGTAGTCTACACAGCTGTACAAGTTGGCATGATGTGCTAGGAAGTATTAATCAAAGAAATAGAGTACCTTGTCAGGCGCTAACTATACTAGTCCTATGCCACCTGGCTAATATCTCCCCATGTGTGTATCCATGCATGTGTGTATGCATGCATGTGTGCTGGAGATGTATTGTGTTCTGTTTGTAGTGGGACCATGCTTCCAACTGCATCATGTATAGTTTCCCCTCACTTGAATGCTAAAACACAGATACTGCAACTACACCCCAGACTATTTCATACTCCACCTGGGTTGTTGGAGTTGTGTCGACAGGAGAAAAATATTTTTTACTCTGAATATTCCATGCGTAAGACGACCACCTGGATCGAACCCCGGCCGCCTGCGCGCAAGGCCAGAGTGTTAACCGCTCGACCAATCTGCCTACCCATAGAGGGTTTGCACTTTAGTTGATCACTTCGATCATGTCTTAAACACTTCGTCACCTACAATTACCAAGTTTTGGTGACAGTTACCAAGTTTTGTATTAGAGTACAACTTGTGCCCTTCACTGAACAGCGTTCATGCCCCTTGAATCACTGCATCACTTTGTCCCGGTGACATCTCATTAACTACAATTGTAATTACCTCTGGGGAGGGTGGGCTATCTAGGGTCTTGTGCCTGATCCTTCTGTACAGATTAAAGCCATTTGGATCACCTTGTCACTTTGTCCTGCAGTTATCTCATTAATTCTGCAATTTCCTCTTGGGGTGGCAAAATATAGCATGCTGATTTTGGGACCATATACAGATGTTATCCCTTCGTTCATATTTGATACCAAATATGTTTGGAGGTGGAAATTTAGATTGCTTACAATACTTCGAATATTCAAAATTAATAATTTGATATGCATGAATAAATTTTATTTGAGACTGCTGAATTTGCTATCTCTCCCTTAAATAAATGTTAAATACACTGTTAAGTCAGATCTTTTGGTGGGGCCCAAATTTTGTGGTTTACCGACAAAACATCATTTTCTGGGTACATCATGAATTCGTGGATTACGAGTACCCACTCAAATGGAGAATTGCTTTATATCAAACTTGTAATTACTTCATGGATGAAGATTACCTACAAAATCAATGAAATTCAAAAACCCACGAAAATTAGTGATTTCACAGTAGATCTTATGAGACATGAAGTACAGAAGTTAGTAAGAAATGTTTTTTAATGTTTTAACATTTATGTATTTGATATTCATACCTTTTGTTGAAATATGTAATCTGAAAAGTCTGCATGCAGTATGTACTTTTTCAAAAAATATAAAGCATATATTTTTTATTTTTTTTCATTTTGCAGATGAATATTTTGAAACTGAAAAATCCCCGAGAAATTAGCAGAACCTTACAAAACTATACGAAGAATTCAATGTATAAAACAAAGTATTTGAATTTGGTAAGTAATTAACAATTTCATTGACAAATTTTATTTTTGTACTCTACAGTTTTGTTACCTATGATAATGTATTCCAAGAAATGTCTGCCACATTTTAACTTTCGTCTGGCTCTGCCTTCCTCAATAAGGCCGAATTTGTCATGACAGCGAAATTGATATACACCTGCATGCATACCACATTTATACATGTGAAGGGCAAAGATTAACACTGTGCTATTTGATAAAGATGTGATCAAACCTTAACCCTTTCACCACTGTAGACCATAATGGACTTATCCAGATCAATGCATGGTAGAGTTTACTAAAGTTACATAGGGGTGAAAGGGTTAAAATACATTCATTTTTAGGGTTTTCTAATCTTAAGTGCATTCATGAAAATAAAATGGCAATTTTACTCCTCTTTTTCTTTCCATTTAAACAGAAATCATACATCAACCAATCGTCCTTGTCGATCCCAGAGAGGTTTTCCTTACACAGGACCTATATCATCTTCCGAACCCTCGGGTTGCGGCACATGGCGGTGGTCGACACGTCCAACAAAGTACTGGGGATCATTACGAGGAAGGACCTGATGGGATTCAACATCGTGGAAAAGGTATCCACACTACACGATGCAAGGTTAGAAATGCGAAGTATGGCCACTGCAAACCACAGCTCTGTGGCGTGACATCTTTTTTTGAAAAATATCTTTCAAGTATGTGACACTATATATCTGTACCAAAAATATCAAACATGGTTGAAATAGCATCATACAGTTAAATTGTTGTTTTGTTGGAGTATTTTAAGTAATTGTTTTAGTGAGTTCATTAGCAGGAGCTGTTTTATGTTTTTATTTTATGAAAAAATATCATTGTCAAGTTGCTTGTTTTTAGTGCTATCCCATCAATGGTTTTAGGAAATACAAAGTGGGGAAAGTTGTTCATGCATATTAAATTGGCAAATATAAATACCTACAAAATATTACCTTTAATCATATACAGTAGAAAATATTTGATATGAAAAATATTAATGTTGATTTATAAATGATTGTTAGTTTTGTGTCAATTTTTCGGTATCCAATTCCACAAAAATATTTTTGTTGTCAATTATAATTTTCAATATTAGAATAAATTTAGATATGCCAAACTTAATGAACCTGCACAAATATTTTTCATTAAGTACATCATTGCCATACACATCAATAATAACAAAATTGTTGTTTATTTAATAACGGTTTTAGTGACAAAATTTTCTCAGGAAAATTCTTCTATAAAAGTGTTTGTGTGATGTGTCACCGACATTGTATGGGAGGGAGGGAACTCTGCCATGCTAACCGAAGAAGTTTGAAAGGGAGATAACTCTGCTTACCTAAAAAGTATGGAAGGGAGATTACTCTGCTAACCTAAGAAAGAGACAGAAAAATATTGTTTCTTGTATGTATCATTGAATAATGACACTTTTCATTGGTTTTTAAACTTCAAAATTTTAAGGGACGCTTTGTATTGGTAATTTATGCACCGAATTGATTATAAAAATGATTGTTGCATGTACAATTTGTATTATATATACAAGTAGTACTATCCTAAGTCTAATCGGTTTTATAAGTTCATGTTGTAAAGAAATAGATGCCTTTGCATCTAAAACAGCTGCATCAAAATGTATAAATAATCAAATCATAGTTAGTTTGCGTTACATATTTCATTTGAAAGAAAAATAATCCAATTGGATTAATATAAGATTTTTTTTTTTTTTTTTTTTTAAATATTTCAAAAAAATATCTCCAAATCTTAATGTGATAATGTGACATTTTAAAATGAGTTCCAAACATTAAATTGGGATGAAAATAATTCTATCTCTAAAGAGACAAATATAGTTCTGTGTTATATGCAACACAGTAAGAGAAATATCTGCATTTGTTACATAAATTTACTATGTAAATGTGTAAAGGCAGTGAGTGGTAAGCATATTTATATTGATTTATTTTTATTTATCCACATCATGAAATCCAGGGATAAGTTTCTCTCTCTTACGTTATTTGCACCCCTGTAATACCAGATATGTCAGGGCAGAATGGAAAGCTCCATACGCACCACCTTGTGGATGAAACAAGATCAGAATAATCGTGCAGCACCGTAACGGTAAAACTTAAAGCCTGGGATGTTGCTCCTCAAGCTCTTTAATATGCAAATTAAAGGCTTTGTACTTCAGGCTAACGATTGATGTATTTTTCACCTGAAATCAATCCAATAGTTAACCGCATGCCTTCTGTTTTAATTTTAATGATAATTTCCAACGGTGCAGAGAACGTGAGTGAGCCTAACCCCTGGACTTGATTGATACATGGTTGGGAGTTTTATGAGCTCAAGGTACATCACAAAATGACAAGACTACAATACAGGCTAAAACATATACCATGTGTATATATTGATGTAGATACTTAACCCTTTCACCACTGTAGACCATAATGGACTCATCCAGGTCAATGCATGGTAGAGTCTACTAAAGTTGCATAGGGTTGAAAGGGTTAAAAAAAATATTTTGAAAAAAAAACGTTCAAGGAAAGAAGGTCACCCTAAAAATATGATGGAAGTTACAAAGGATTTTTTTTTTTACTTTTATGGTGCTTTTCTAGAATATAGCTTTACTAGCTTGTGTTACAAGGTTAAAATCAAATCTCCGTCAAGAAACAAAAACTCTTATCTGCATGTAGTTCACAAATGTATATCATAACGAAAAAGTATGCATTTAAATAAGGTTTCATTGTTTTGGTTCTTAGGTTTTACATTTCATGTTTTTAATTATGTGTTTTTACAGGTGTAGACCACACGTTCGTTCAAGACCAATAAATTAATGAGATGTGCGTATGTATGATATATTACGTTCCTGAAACCTGGTACTAAGATCAGGAGAAATCATTGGTTGTGATTATGTACCCCTATCTATTCCTACACTTGTAATAGATCCAGAGGTTGGAGGGTTGAGGGGGTCAGAGGGGCTTATCGAAACCACACCCCTTTTTTAAACTTCAAAAGAAGAAAATATATCTTCTGAAAGAAAAACTTTCAATTTAAAACTTTTGCTGTTTCTGTATATTGTTGCATGTGAAATATAATTTGAGTGCACCAAATTCATCAATGTATATTAATATCTACTAACTCTGTAAAAATTTTCTTAAATTTAATTTCACCAAACTAAGTGCAAAAACAGTGTCCACCAAATGATGAGATTATAAATTATAATTTCATTGTAGAAAATGGAACTTGCTATCTGACACGTACGAAGGTGGTTAAATAAGAGGAATCACAATGTGGTCTTACAGTAAAGTGTTGTCACTGTAATGTCATGCCAGGGTTACAAGAAAAGATGGGTCCCCCCTTCTGCACTTAATGAATTCCATTTTGTTAATATGCGTGAAAGCTTTGCTGTGAAATACTAAACATGTGTGATTTTATAATTATTGACTAGTTTTATCACTTGCCTTTCATATCATTTGCCGAAATAAATCATAAATGATTTTCTAGGATTTTCTATATACGAAAATAACATGTTCTTACTCTTATTCCTGTTGGGTTTAAAACAAAATCATATCAAATATATGGTTCAATAATCTGTTCAGGTGTGTAGATTTCCACTTTCCCCGATGTCTATGGCTAGCAGATTTATGTTTTGAAGTAATGAAAAATTTGTATTGTATTAGCATATTTTTAGTGAACACTTATAAATAATTTTAAATTCATGTTTTGATAAAGCGAAATTTCGAAAAGTTTGATAATTTGTTTAAAGCCAATATTGATATGAAAAAGAACAATTATCATTGACAGCTATGTGTTGGTTTCATATGTTTAAAAATGTTTACCTTAGATTCATAGAGAAATATATGTGTAGATAGTATAACTTCTTGCCAGAATAGAATCAAATCAAACTCATGCTTTTAAAGCATAAATCACGATACACTTGTGGTTTCTGATACAAATATTCCAGTGAGTGCGTAAAGATGATGTCTTCCGGATGGTCAACTCAACATCTATTTTCTTTGATTTTGACATGTGACAAGTGAACAAAGGCTTGCCGAGAGATCAAATTATCTATACCGTTCTTAAATCTGAAAACCCTGTACGTACCTCATTCACCCCTGAAAATTCATAATGAACTATTCTAACATTTGAATTCGAAAAGTTTAAATGTGTCTTCAGGGGTGAGTAAGTTTAGGGGTCAGTCATGCGTTGCTCCGACACCTGGAAAGGCAAACCTATCCTGACAACCCACTGGGGTTGAAATGCCACACAATAAACCTCCTGAAATCACACTTTCTGCAGCTTCTTTGCTCCAAAATTGGCAAAAAAATCCTACCCTGTACGTACCTCATTCACCCCTGAAAATTAATGAACTATTCTAACATTTGAATTCGAAAAGTTTAAATGTGTCTTCAGGGGTGAGTAAGTTTAGGGGTCAGTCATGCGTTGCTCCGACACCTGGAAAGGCAAACCTATCCTGACAACCCACTGGGGTTGAAATGCCACACAATAAACCTCCTGAAATCACACTTTCTGCAGCTTCTTTGCTCCAAAATTGGCAAAAAAATCCTACCATTTTGTGTTTTAAGAATTCTTCTTTAATTTGTTTCCATATTTTGTAACAATCCAAAATTTTGCATTCTAGCTGTTTGGTGTTGCTTTCACTCTAAATCATGAGCAGGGTTATGACAAAGCTGTGCTTTATTTTGATTGGCTACAAGTTCGAGTATTAAGATACATGTATTTCAAATTATACCCAAGTGAAATGAATCATAGTTCTGTGTATATAATCTAGTGCAAGAAAAAATCCAGGTTCTTTGTCTTTGGCTAGTAGATTTGGTCTGCCAGAGAGTCTTTGGCTAGTAGATTTGGTCTGTCAGAGAGTCAATGTTTTTGTCTCCTAGGACTTCCGATGGACCATTGTTGTATTCACATGATGCTATTTTATTTCTTATCAAATTAATAGTTGCCAGTTTAAATATAATGTGTCTGTTAAAAGGCCACGTCCAGGAAATGAACATGTGTCTTATATCTCATTTTCAGACAAGTTTTAGCAGAGCTTCTGAAAAGTGTATTCTTGCCCTACAACTTCAATAACATGTAAAATAAAGTACGGTAAATAAAAAAGTTATAAAATATTGTGTCCAACTACGTGTATGATTGATAGTTGTGATTTTTTTAAACAAGGCACATTCAATTTTACATGTTTTATTAAAGAAATATTTTGTTTACCTAAATTTTAGGTTCAATAGAGTGTTTCGTATTATTATGATGTGAAACCACAACCGACTATTTGTATCTGTTTAAGGGTACTTTAGGTTCAAATAACGAAATTATGTGGTTGAGTTTTGTTTAAAACAATATAATTATGTGTATAGTGTATTTTCTTCTGTATATTGTCATTATGTCATCAATTAATGAAAATGTGCCAAAAGAAATGTCCCCAAAGAGAAATCTAAGCTTCCAGTATTTATCTTAGTCAAGACGGTTGATAAATGTTTATTTCGTTTTTTGTTCCTAAAGTAAATATGATTAAACTATGGCTTCGTTATAAAGTAATGGTATCTCACATTGTCTTCAGTTTAAGTTGTATGAATATCGTCGTCGGATACCCATCGGTGATGAGTGAGTACCGAAGCGAAACCTGCCTGGATATCCGACGATGCATGAACATATATGTAATCAAAAGTAGAAAATGCGAAGAAAATTATGTAATTATTTAGTTAGGAATATTATTTTGCTTGAGCATTTACTTTACCTAGTCTGCTATTTTTCATTCAGTTATTTCAAGATGTTATTGGTATTGGTTGAAGTTTATTTTTATTACAAAAGATAGGAACAAGCGACATTTTGAGTTGGACTGAACCCAAGGCGAAATCCGAATCTTTTCACAACGGTCACAGTTAAGCTTGAATCCGCTGAAATAAATCTTTATTTTTCTATGTCAAACATACATTATTATGGGACCAACAAGATTAGTTAACAATTTCCTGTTATGCTATAGATTTTATGGCATGGAACAGTGCTGTTTGATTTCTGTTATGTGATTTCAACTTTTCAAATCTTCTCATTAGCTCGACAAGTACGTTTAAGTTTGTCTAATAATAATAATATTGAACCTCAGAACATGCATCTTCTTTCAAACAAAATTAAATCTCAGAGAGAGCAAATTATGAAATGTATTCCTTGTTACATCGTAAATTATTTGGAGTACTTGAAGTAAACAAGTAAGTAATTCAGTTTGTTTCGGCGAATACTCGTTTTTCCCGATCATTTTTCAAATGAGCAAGGTTCGCCAAGATTTCGAATTCACGAATAAAAAGATAACAGCTGTTTGAATGTTGTTAAACTGTATCGGAAAGGATACCATCGTCTTTTCTTTCAAACTTTCTCGAAAATATAAATCCAGTGAAATATAAATTTAAATCAGCAAATATGACCCAACATTACGGAGAAAGGAAGTCATGTAATATGGCATTTTTGCAATTAAACAAAATGTTTTCAATAAACGTACACTGGCATTATAAATAATATGTCACAATGGCTACATTTTGTCACAGTAAGTACATTTTTATCTTTATAATTTTATTGCATCATTTCGTGTAACAAATACTTATACCAGTGTGTGGGACCATTGTGAATGTAGAATGTGAAGCCCTTTTAATATAATACTCGTGAATTCAGTATTAAGTCCATATACAGTTTATGTATGTCTGTATACAATTTTACAAAATGACATTTCTTTGTGTTTCACCTTGTATAATTATCTTACTTTATGTATAAAAGTATAAATGTTTGGCTGTTCCTTGAACTCGCGATCGATGCTGAATGCGAAAATAAACACAATTTTCAATACCACGTGAAATATGACTTACCAAAAGTAGCCGTGTAAAACAGGTATAGGAAAACATCATTCTTTTGGGAAATTCTGGTTCACATGTACGACATTTTCACTCATGTTAGGGAAACAGTATTTGTACTTTCCTGAACATGATCTTTTTGGGTTTTCCTCTTTTTAACAAGTTAGCAAGTTAGTACAACTGTCCTATCATGCAACTGCACGTTCTCACGTGACCCTGGCTGACATGTCCTGTAGATATCTCTGCACATCAACTAGATGATTTTGGCTAAATCCTCTTTGACCATGAATTACTTGTCATATTTGAAATACTGTGCATAGAAATATTATTTCGTTATTTTAAACATTTTGTTAAGATTGCGTCCAATGACACCTTGCTTTAAACATAGATAATTCACGGTGCTGTTTTAAAATCTGGGAAATGTTGTATTAAAGGAGACTTTAATAGACTATAAAAATATCTGTTCAAACCGAATCCTCTATAACTCAAACATGTATTGACCAAGACCTTCAACTAGGTACCGCTGTGTGCATGTCTAAATTATATCTGAATCTTGGCCCGTATTCATGAAACCGTTTTCATGCTCAAGCATGGATTTTGTGCTCGAACCAACTTTCTTGTAAATCACTTGAATCATGTCAAAATTTGACTTGAGCACAAAATCCATTGGAACGGTTTCATGAATTCGGTCATTTGTAACATGAATAGTGTGTTTTTAGTGTAGAAACCTCGACAAACCTTTTATTGGTAGATTTTTTCTACCAGTACGTTTGGTGTTTTTGTGAAGAAATATTCACTATCTGTTGATTGATGCCAAGTATTATATATATGTGTGTGTAAATTTGTTATATACTGTGTTATTAAAAAAAAATGGAAACAAATTCCAGACGCGTGTTGCTAAATAAAGAAATATTTATTTTGATATATAATTTGTTAAACTTCATCTAATTTGTTGACAAATAAAAAATAGATGTTAAGTTGAAATATTATTTTGTGTTTTTTCCTTATTACATTAATAATATCGACTTAAGACTTTCTTAATTCATTTTCGATTGTGTATATCTGCATGACCTTTATGTGTTCATCTTTTCTATATACGCATCCTCATCTCTCAATTATCTTTTTCGATCCACTCACCTCCATCCCAACCCTTCTACTTGTCAATCCACTCATCTCCATCCCAACACTTCTACTTGTTAATCCACTAACCTCCATCCCAACCCTTGTACTTTTCAATCCACTCACCTCCATCCCAACCCTTCTACTTTTCAATCCACTCACCTCCATCCCAACCCTTCTACTTTTCAATCCACTCACCTCCATCCCAACCCTTCTACTTTTCAATCCACTCACCTCCATCCCAACCCTTCTACTTTTCAATCCACTCACCTCCATCCCAACCCTTCTACTTTTCAATCCACTCACCTCCATCCCAACCCTTCTACTTTTCAATCCACTCACCTCCATCCCAACCCTTCTACTTTTCAATCCACTCACCTCCATCCCAACCCTTCTACTTGTCAATCCACTCACCTCCATCCCAATCCTTCTATTTTTCAGTCCACGCAACTCTATCCCAACCATTCTACTTGTCAATCCACTCATCTCCATCCCAACACTTCTACTTGTTAATCCACTAACCTCCATCCCAACCCTTCTACTTTTCAGTCCACGCAACTATATCCCAACCCATCTACTTGTCAATCCACTCACCTCCATCCCAACCCTTCTACTTTTCAATCCACTCACCTCCTTCCCAACCCTTCTACTTGTCAATCCACTCACCTCCATCCCAATCCTTCTACTTTTCAATCCACTCACCTCCTTCCCAACCCTTCTACTGGTCAATCCACTCACCTCCATCCCAACCCTTCTACTTGTCAATCCACTCACCTCCATCCCAATCCTTCTATTTTTCAGTCCACGCAACTCTATCCCAACCATTCTACTTGTCAATCCACTCATCTCCATCCCAACACTTCTACTTGTTAATCCACTAACCTCCATCCCAACCCTTCTACTTTTCAGTCCACGCAACTATATCCCAACCCATCTACTTGTCAATCCACTCACCTCCATCCCAACCCTTCTACTTTTCAATCCACTCACCTCCTTCCCAACCCTTCTACTTGTCAATCCACTCACCTCCATCCCAATCCTTCTACTTTTCAATCCACTCACCTCCTTCCCAACCCTTCTACTGGTCAATCCACTCACCTCCATCCCAACCCTTCTACTTGTCAATCCACTCACCTCCATCCCAATCCTTCTATTTTTCAGTCCACGCAACTCTATCCCAACCATTCTACTTGTCAATCCACTCATCTCCATCCCAACACTTCTACTTGTTAATCCACTAACCTCCATCCCAACCCTTCTACTTTTCAGTCCACGCAACTATATCCCAACCCATCTACTTGTCAATCCACTCACCTCCATCCCAACCCTTCTACTTTTCAATCCACTCACCTCCTTCCCAACCCTTCTACTTGTCAATCCACTCACCTCCATCCCAATCCTTCTACTTTTCAATCCACTCACCTCCTTCCCAACCCTTCTACTGGTCAATCCACTCACCTCCATCCCAACCCTTCTACTTGTCAATCCACTCACCTCCATCCCAATCCTTCTATTTTTCAGTCCACGCAACTCTATCCCAACCATTCTACTTGTCAATCCACTCATCTCCATCCCAACACTTCTACTTGTTAATCCACTAACCTCCATCCCAACCCTTCTACTTTTCAGTCCACGCAACTATATCCCAACCCATCTACTTGTCAATCCACTCACCTCCATCCCAACCCTTCTACTTTTCAATCCACTCACCTCCTTCCCAACCCTTCTACTTGTCAATCCACTCACCTCCATCCCAATCCTTCTACTTTTCAATCCACTCACCTCCTTCCCAACCCTTCTACTGGTCAATCCACTCACCTCCATCCCAACCCTTCTACTTGTCAATCCACTCACCTCCATCCCAATCCTTCTATTTTTCAGTCCACGCAACTCTATCCCAACCATTCTACTTGTCAATCCACTCATCTCCATCCCAACACTTCTACTTGTTAATCCACTAACCTCCATCCCAACCCTTCTACTTTTCAGTCCACGCAACTATATCCCAACCCATCTACTTGTCAATCCACTCACCTCCATCCCAACCCTTCTACTTTTCAATCCACTCACCTCCTTCCCAACCCTTCTACTTGTCAATCCACTCACCTCCATCCCAATCCTTCTACTTTTCAATCCACTCACCTCCTTCCCAACCCTTCTACTGGTCAATCCACTCACCTCCATCCCAACCCTTCTACTTGTCAATCCACTCACCTCCATCCCAATCCTTCTATTTTTCAGTCCACGCAACTCTATCCCAACCATTCTACTTGTCAATCCACTCATCTCCATCCCAACACTTCTACTTGTTAATCCACTAACCTCCATCCCAACCCTTCTACTTTTCAGTCCACGCAACTATATCCCAACCCATCTACTTGTCAATCCACTCACCTCCATCCCAACCCTTCTACTTTTCAATCCACTCACCTCCTTCCCAACCCTTCTACTTGTCAATCCACTCACCTCCATCCCAATCCTTCTACTTTACAATTCACATACCTCCATCCTTACCTTCTACTTTACAATCCACGCACCTCCATCCTTACCTTCTACTTTTCAATTCACACACCTCAATCCTTACCTTCTAATTTCCAATCCACGCACCTCCATCCTTACCTTCTAATTTTCAATCCTTACCTTCTCCTTTCAACACACACACCTCCTTCACAACCCTTCTGCTTTTCAGTTCACGCACCTCCATCCTAAACTTTAACATTTCAATCCACGCACCTCCTTCACAAACCTCTTTTCCAACTGTTTTACATTTCAATCCTCGCACCCTTATCTCCCCAGCCATCCATTTTTCAATCCACTCCCCTTTGTTTCCCCGGTCCCGTTTTTCCAATCCACGCCACTCCTCCTTTCAACCAACCCTGCTAAGCAACCTATCTAACTGGATGACCAAGGCTGTTTCTCGAAAACCATCATCTTCTTCACATCTCTCTTACCCTAAAAGTTCCAGGAGGGAAATTTCCCCCTGTTAGTAGGGAGATGGGAATCGCGCCTACTTCCCATTATTATACAAGGTCTATACAACTTCTCAGTAAGTGCTGTAGGAATCTTTCTCAAATTTGATATGCATGTTTTATTTTCGAGACTGATCGGATAAACAAAATGGCCCATGGGCGGCCATCTTGGATTTTGACAGAATGTTTGATATTGCTATTTCTTTAACATTAAGTACACTGTACTTGTAAATATGTGAAGCGACAAACTCACTTTGAAGGTTGTCTTTTATACACAGCAGTATGAAGTTTAGATCAAAGGTAACCTCCAGGTGCATTTACTGTTAACGTGACTCAATAAAACAAATAATAAAAAAGAAGAGAAAAGATCGAACTGACGTTCCGAAAGGAAAAGTATCTTCTGCTTCTACGTTGAATCCCAGCAATGCCACGCCCTTATACCGAAATCTGGTTTATCGCTCAAACTTAAAACACATGTGTAAATTAATGAAATGCGTTCCGTCCGTCTCCCTTTAAATCCGTCAGTCCAGCCACCCCTCTGTATACATGTCCGTCCGTTCGTCTGCGAGGGGGTCGCGGTGTACAAGTGGTTAAGGCGTCTGACAGTCTACTGCCAATAGCCCTCCAACACTGGGTTGCGGGTTCGAGACCTACGTGGGGCAGTCACCAGGTTCTGGCTGTAGGTTGTTGTTTTTTCTCCGGGTACTCCGGCTTTCCTCCACCACCAAAACCTGGAACATCATTAAATGACCATAGCTGTTTATAGAACGTAAACCACAAACACACCAAATCGCCTCGATCGGATGTTTAGTTGAGATCGAATAAAGAGTTGAGTTCTGAGACGGACGGACGTGATGATATGTACGAATTTCGACCATTATGTCAAAATCATATCAGTTTTTGGTGTAAATTTTTGAATATTACAGTACGTCAAAAACACGTAAAGAGAGTATAATGGAGACTTCAATAAGTCATTCGTATCGAGATTTACGAAAAAATGCAAAAAAATATCTATTTTACAACGAATATTACGGGAGGATTGGTCAAGTGGTTAACACTACAGCCTTTCACGCAGGCGGCCGGGGTTCGATCCCCGAAGTCGTCGTACTCATCAATATTCAGTGTTTTTCTCCTGCCCACACAACTCCAACAACCCAGGTGGAGTATAAATTGGTCAGGGGTGGATGTTGCGGTATCTGTGCTGTAGCATTCAATTGAGGTGGCACTATAAATGATGCCGTTGGAAGCACGGTCCCACTACAAACAGAACACATTACATCTCCAGCACACACGCAGGCATACACACATAGGGAGATATTAGCCAGGTGGCATAGAACTAGTAGTTACCGCCTGATAAGTCAGCTCCCGCGAATCCTTCAAATTTTTTTTTATTGATTAATGTATATATATGCTAATTGCATTAATTGAATACCTATGTACTGTAAAGCGCTTTAGAGTGGCTTATATTAGCTCGATAAGGCGCTACAGGTTTATCAAATGTTGTATATTATTATTATTTTTATATCTATATTATTTTGCCATGTCAGGGATATTTTGAATCATTTCTGGTTACTAGTATGTACAATATGTAAGACATGACGTACACAGAAAACACCTTAATACAAAATACACGAATTCCCAAAATTACTGAAATATTCTGCATCCAATAGCACCAAGTTTTACGTCTATGTGCGCACTTGTATTCCCGTTAGCACATAACATTGAAACGCACGTGCAACTCACTTTGTACATACACAACACTTAAGTGTTCGAAGTCTTCAAACGTTTCAAATGGCCTGCCTCCTTGTCTCACTTGTTCGGCTACGAGTGTAATTCTGACAAATGTGTTGCATAACAAATTTACATTTGTGGAGGTTCTCTTTAACTGAGGAGAAACACTTGTATCGACACGTTTTTCTGGGTGTGAAATTTCTCATAAAAATACAGCAAAGTGTCAAATTAACAAGCGTTTCATTATGTGTGCGGCTTTAGGTATTTAAGAAGATAGAAAAAGTGGTAGACCGCCTTGATCTATTTATGTTTTCGTTTTCTTACTGGAAAGGGGGAGACTGGGCGCCCTTGGTTAAATCCATGCGTGTTTTATGATATTATTTAAATAATTTCCATATTAAAACGAATACTTTTCTGTTATTTTTATTTGCTCTGTGTCCTTCCATTGCAATGCATTAAGAAGGCAAATGTTGTGGTGAGACTATTATAACATTTGCTATTGTAACGTCATCAATCTCTATTGTGACGTCATCAATTTCTGTGTTGTCAAGACTTAATTTGCTGTGCAAAGAACTGTTGGAAATAACTAAATAAAGTGTAATTACTCTATCAAAATATAAATAATGATTATTTCAGCAAATATTGTTATAGTCCTATAACACACATTTCTATTGCTGACAAACTTACATAAAACCCTGCCGGGCTATATTTTGTTTGTCATTAATAGCACTGTGTGTTATAGGACCATAACAACATTTGCTAAAACATTCATTGCTTAATAACTGATCCCTGCAGGTACGGTGGAAACATAAGACTAATGCATCCAACTGCAGATTATCGGAAGAGGCGACTAACGTGGGACTCCTGCAAAATCGAGGGTGTTCTTCTGTGTCTTCGTACGGGATATTGAAGAACAAAGTTGATCTGCTGCCCCTCTTTGTAACACTATATCTTTCCTTATTCACTTCCCCGCTCTTTCCTTTAGGCGGTGTCTCCCTAGGGACCCGTCTTCCTTTAGCTGTTGTGAGTACGTTAAACCCCAAACGATAGAACGAACAATCGTTTTTAATTCATTTTGGGTTACTGCTATATGTCATCAGAGACAGCCTCGATGTCATTCCACAATAACTACAGATTGTCCCAAATGTCACTGATTTCTCATATTAAGTACATATATCACAGTCAGGCAAAACATTCACCATTCCACAACTATTATGGCTGCATGCACTCTTTCATGTCGATTGCTCTCGACTAAAGAGTCAGGATTTTGGCGCATGTCATGATCACATGATCCCAAAACAGAGTGATCCGTGCACGTGCCTTCATGACCTCATGACGTCATCTGACTTTGTTGATGTTGCAGTTTCGGCATCCGAATCTTATTGGTTTTCCGTTTGAACCAGTCCATGTCCCAGTTCAGGATACCATAGGTAATCAGTCTGTATATTAGTTATGACCGACAGTCGTAGAACTATTGTTCCTCGCCGCTCTGGAATCTGGCCACACCTTAAACCCCACTTAAATGTATGTCCTTGTCAGAAATTTAAATAAAGTGAAAAGTGTTTGCTTTATACCGTCATATGTGACAACGTTTACCCATACTTTATACATTATCAATACGTTGATGTCTCTACACAGATATACAATACGATCTATTGCGTCTGATGTAGGCTGGGGCTCACTATTTGAGAGAAAAAAAAATTAAAAAGCAAACTTTTCATGAAAATACAGGTTATAGTAACTTACTGACAATTATAAAAGCGTGTCTGATTGGATTATACTGGTCACCTGACGAGGTAATAACACATCATTTCGCCCTCATGCGCGAGGTTTTCATGAATTGATCCTCTGAAGAAAATTTTAATTCGGCAGAAGCTATTGTTTATCACAATTATGCCGAAAATATGTATGAAAAATATTCCTTCGATGTTTCGTGTATACGTAAATAAAGAAAATAACAAGAATAAGTATAAAAGTATTACTAAAAGGTCTTAATGAATTCGATAACGCCTAGATAGTGAGGGGATTTGTTCTTACATCATTTTTTTTCACGTGTGAAAAGCATCACAAGAGCGACAGGTGATAATATCGTAACCCGCCCATGTGTTAGATAAGTATATTGCTCTGTACATTATGTATACAGCCCGCACCGTCGCCTACAAAGGCCCAGCTTACACCCATTGATATCTGGTAACTGTATCGTCAGAAACATTTATATAATTAATTGTTTATATGTAGCTGTTTGAGCACTAAGTATAGCATTAGTGTTAGCGGCTGTCTAATTCCTCCTCCTCCTCCTCCTCCTCCTCCTCCTCCTCCTCTTCCCGTTTCCACTCTTCCCTGCTCCTCCGATGAACAGTACACCCCGTGTATACATTCGGAACACCTCTGCCAATTTACTTCATTCATCTAAAGTTATTAAAAACGTACTGTAATCGGGGAGAGGTGTTCATTTTGGTATGAAATCCATGTAATTTTATTTCATTCATATAAAAGAAAGAAAAACTAAAAAAAAATAAAAAATACATTTACATTCGTGTTCAACGAAAAGAAGGTACTATCTGAGGCTTGGGGCTGGCAAAAGGCCTCAAAACTAGTTCTGTCCCAAGTGCCAACTTACGTTTTTCTTTGTAGCTCACATATTTCCACGATATCGTCTTTTCAAACAAATAATTTAATGATTGGGTTATATTCCGTTGCCTGGGTTTAGCCTTGGTTCCACTTTAGTAAGTGGAACTTCGTGGTGAATAAAACGTGAAAGAGTTGACCTAACAAAGAAAAAATCATAATGTTATTGATGCAACTTTGATTGAAAATGCCCTCTTCCTTTTTTCTAAGCAACAGTTTGTGATTGAACAAAGTATTAATTTGCCTTCTATGAAATGATATTTCGATTTTGACCAATTTGAAATAGATTATAAAACTGAAATCCAAATTCAAAATTTTATTTGCATATTTGTAACTACAAAGTAGTTTGAAGGCAAAATATTTTAACACAGTGAAATACATACATATAGAGATGTACATGTAGAAAAGTCGCAAGGTGATTGCTTATATTTCTAATATACATTAACATGAACAAAATTAACATAGCTTCAAATAGAAAATTCGATTTAAACAGTGTTAGCTGCAAAGTCCATACCATATACCACAGGGACCTGAACATTTGTTACAGCTATATTTTGACCTAAACTAAGGTGTTCAGAGTAATTTTACATGTTTTAGGTGTTCTTAGGTACAAATATAGCTGTAACAAATTATCAGGTCCCTGTGCCATATACTGCCAGCAAGCACACTTTCCTCAGTTCTAGAGATTATATAATTCTGACGAAGTGATGAAATTGATGTTTGTGAAAAACAGATCGGATTTTTTTAATCGTTATTTGTATTCTGCAGAGCTGTATATCATGAAACACAATATCTCTCTGCAGTGTACGATTGAAGGGAGTCGGCTTCCTTCATTGTTTCAATGAAGGAAGCCGGTCAGCGCCACCTGCTGGGTCCCGTATCTGCTCGGCTCGCGGCTCCCCGGGGACTCTCCGTCAGTTGTCGTAACATTTACGTCACAAGTCACACGTTCCCCAGCGTCTGACTTGAATAAATTATGTGTTATGTTTCGTTGCCTGGGTTGTGGACAGTGTCCAGTGCATGTAGAAAGTGAAATAGAGCACATACATAGGATAGATTTACATACGTGTTGTACCATACCCCGATACACCCTCCTGAGTACACCCACCGACCCCCCTACCCTGTGGACTCGTGTTCAATGCGATGTTACATTTGTACAACCCCCATGTTCGTAATAAAGTTAATTGATCAGTTCAACACGCACGGTGTCTGGCCAACATTTACCAGAATTAAAAGTTCAGGCTAAATTCTCATAGTCGCAACAGTGAAGTTTGCCAAAACAATTAACGTTGCGAGAAAATTAAAGGCTAAATATTGAAATCAATATAGTTTACACTTCTATGTATAATTCTCTCGATACCACGACTCTGGTTGGCCTCATTTACGTCATTCGTTTGATTTAAAATTCCGATGTTTTTACTTAAAAACAATTCGTTCATTTAGTAATCCCATTTTAAATTCGTTCATGAGCTCATTCATTTATCCGCCATTCCAAAGATCATGTCAGCAATTGGAGGATATACATTTCCAATTGCTAATTGTTTGTTCGTTCGTCTTTATTCTCACGTGTTCTTCGTGTGTATTTTTTCTTCTTCATTGATTTGTCCATGCGTCTGTTTGTTCCTTTGAAATATCGCCTGTAAAATGTTCATTCATTTGTTCAGCTTTTTTGTTCTACATTTGTTTCTTTTAGTTAACATAATTTATATAAAGCCCTAAACCTTCAAATGAAGACCAAAATGCTAGTTTTTAAGCCACAAATTAACTTACGAACTCGAAACTGGGTCAAACATCTTACGTTTTGCGCAATCTCAAATTCAAATTCAATATGTTTTCTCTATATTTTAACTACAAAGTGTTTTGAGGAAAAAATACAATAAAGTTCATGCATGTAAGATATAGATATGTAAGCTGGTGATTTGTTTTTCATTCATAGTTATTATCAAAAATCATCGACGTTTGATGTCAGCATGAACTATTTTATTTTGTCACATGTATCGTTCGTTTGATAAAATGTGAAGTGCATGACTTCAATCGTGGCCGCTTTGTATAGTATTCCGACATTAAATTTGACCTTTTAAGTGATTCAGTCGGCGTATATAAAACGTAGATCGAAAATGAAGTTGGAATTTTTATGTTTTATTTACTGGTACACGAACAACTTCTTTAAACAAACACAGATTTTTTTTTATAAATAAATGTGTACAGAAAAACAAAAGCATCGATATATTTCCGTAATTGTCGGGTCTTAATTTAGACGTTTTGTTGATAAAAAACAGGTGTCATAATTTATTTTTGATTGAGGAATTTCTTATTTTAAACATGCCGTTGAAAGTATAGTTTTTATCAGTACGTGTATTCGCACGTTTTAAGGAACTGTCCCTCTGATCTTTCTCAAACAAAAAGAAATCGTTTTCAATCTCATTTTCGTATAAATGGCAACTGAATTGATCAAATATTCACACGATAATACCTATATGTCTAACCGTAGGACAGGTACGATTCCACATAATTCCGTAATTAAATATTAGGGAAAGTCGTGTATCTATTACATTAGTAAAAATATCCAACTTTCGTTTATTTGCATTTGAACCGTTTCGACCAAGTGTTCGTAAATATGTATAAGTGTTGTGTTATTTTAAAGGGATTTCAATGTTGGCATTTCCCGCGTGGATTTAACAGTGTATCAATTTGTTGTTTGCATTTCAATGATAACAGATTAAAAATGAAAGATACTTTCCGGCGTTTCCATCGAAGATCAAAAGCGTTCACCGGTTTTTTAAAAGGTATGAAAGAAATAATATTAGGTAGCAAGTGTGTAAATCAGGATATAAACAGGTACATGCTATACAGGTAAATCGTATCACAGGTACAGAACACAGGTGTTTACTCTGGTCAGTCAAGTACTGGACGACAATGACCGTCGGTCAACTGGTCAAATAATCCCAGGTAATTGAGAAAACTTTTGGGTTTACTATGTTCGTCTACGATTGCCGCTCTCAAGTAGGGGATAAGTGGGGCGATAGTTTGATTGAGTCATATATAACCATAATTGTATTTGTATATGTTTCAATTTTGACATATATGCACGCGACGTATATTTATGATTATGATTTATAGTCGGTTTTAATACAATTTTACGAAGATTTACTATAAACAACACACATGTGCTATTGTACAATTAAGTTCATATAAACCTTTTCCATTTATTATATTTTATTTTCGAGAAAGAAAGCAAAGACACGCTAGTGTTTTGCGACATTATCTCAACTTTAAATCTATAAGACTGTTACAAAGGACTAAAATCCGTCAGTTACATGCACTGACCTCGGGTCTTGACCAAATCTTGACCAGGGGGACCATCATCAACATCATATTATAATTTTATTTTAATTTTGACGTTTCCGTATGTTATTAAATCAATCAAGAATGCGTTGCCTTGTTTTTGACATTTGGACTCTGTCAAAAAAAAGTAAAGAAAAAACCCGATATTTTCAATACATTTTGTCAATTTTTTTCAATCAACAGATGAATATATTTCAATGTCGGTATATTTTGGCAAATATATTATTCATTATAGTATATGACGCCACTAGAAATGTGACATACACGTCTCCTTTTATATTCAATAAAACACCAAGATTTAATAGCAGAAAAAACCCCACAAATATTGCTACATGCCATAACACGATTTTGTAACAGGTATTCTTATCAGAAACTGACATTTTATTTATCGTAAATATCTTAATCTAAAATACAAATTGAATGAAAACTATCATTCATCGATTCCGACAAAAGTCATAATTTAATTCATATTAAATTCAGTATTGTATTTCCCCTATATAAACAGTTTTATGGCAGAGGGAAAACAAAGACAAATATATCAGATAAACAACTACAGATGTACACCGAGGCCGTTTTGAAGCCTTTGTTTTACCATTTGAAGCAAACTTTCTCTCATCCGAGTTCTTATGAATGTTATGTCATATTTCTGATATATGTTTGATGGATTTTAATTATGTCTGTTAATGATCCTCAGATTTAATTATGCTAATGAGATTTTCAGCAAGATAAGTCGATATCAATAGTATAAAATGTTAATGAAGTTCCAGCTATATTGATAGTTGAACATTGACTTACAATTTGGGAAGATTTGATAAAAATATTCTCAGAAAATCGTACATTGGCGTAGAAAGACACACTTCATCGTAATGACGTCACAAAAAATAACACCTCCCGATATTCACAAAGTCATATTATGGAGTTATTCTATAATTCAGAAAATTCGACGAGTAACTGATTCAATTTTCTTTAAGGTAACATTTGAAAAAGTATATAATTATGATATTCATTCATATATATGAACTTAAGATGTGACAAAAATACATCGCCCTGCTTTTACACAATATTGTACAAAAATTAATTACCAGCTCTATCAAATGATGGAATTATAAATAGATATGTCACTGTTTGAAACGATTGAAATATTTGGAGTTGTGTGGAACATTCCATATTCCAGAATATTAGGCATGCGCTAATAAATACCACGGAATTCCTTGTAAATAAACTCTCGTAGCGTACTGAAGAGATCAAACATTAAAGAAATTTATATTCAACTTGAAAGAATTTCTTGTCGCGAGAACGGCGGAGTACGTACGCTCTAATGTCAGAAACGTTTTCGCGTTAGAACATGCTAACATGTGTATATAAGTGTGTTACGATTATAGGAGGTATGTATTTCAATAATTTTACACTTATATACATGTGTAAATACTCGAATCTTCAAAAAGTATAAAACACTGCGAAATATATGAACTTCAAAGGAACAGGTGGTAGACAGACATGAAACGGAACGTGTCAGTTCTGTCACCTTCAACGCCATTTTGTTTAGTCGGTACAACTCAACTGACACAGGTTCCGGTGGGAGAAAATATCATTGCTTGAACGCAGTGGGAGTTCCGAAAGGCATCTAAATTGATTAAATGTAAACCACTTAGCCCAGCACGCGCTCCGGTCGGTGAATGGCGGCCTCTGATTGGACGAGAGTCGTGTGACATCAGCGGGAGGCGGGAGCTGGAATTAAAGAAACCGCCTACTGATAAATGATATACCAAAGTTCGGCGATGTAGATTTCACACCCTCTCATGACATTAACCTGTCCGTCAAAAGAGTCTGTCTTGAAGATTGTGATGAGGGTCTGGAAGTTTATACTTAACATCATGTAAAGCAGAGTTTTGCGTACAGTTGTCAAGAAATCAAGTGTAGGAAGACAGCAAAATTAGTTTTGTCTAAACCGTTTTGACACAGATGAAGTGATACCCTTCTCCGCACGTGAAATCTTCTCATCTGACGGATCGTTAAACCACAGAGCCGCTCGGTGAAAGTTTGTTTTTGGATTTTTTTGTCGCTCAAGAAAATAATAAGGTAAGAACCAAATACATATTTTTCACAAAACCTTTTAATTTATTTTCTAAACCTGTGTCAGAAATTATCATAACATTTATGAATGGGTCATTTGATCTGATATATCGGACACGTACTACGCATATTTGTAAATCTCTAATCCATAAAACTCTTCTTATATAAACGTATAATTTTTTAAATATCACATAGGTGTTGCTTGCTTTAAAATTAAATGAAATATACTTTCTGTTATTATTCATCAAAGAGACCCTTTTAACACACTTTAGAAAGCGGTTACATTTATCGAGAACTTGTAGTGACAAGGATTATAAGATTAGCTTAAACGTTGAAGCAATGTCTATGGTGTCTGAATGAGATTTGAAGTGAAAAAGAAAATAAATTATATGAAAAATATTTCTGATGGTGCTACAGTGCTGGATCAAAGTGTTTAGTTGTTTCTTGCTATAAAAATGGCACAAAGAGAGTGTATTTTTATTAAACTATAGTCATCAAATTACCTAGTAGATAAATATTTTTTGACAAAATAAATAAAACGAAATAAAATAACTATAACTTGTCACATTTCATCGTTTTATAATTCGATGTATACATTTCTTTATCGCTTTAATCAAAATGTTACATGTTATTCAATTACACTAGGAATTGTCCCATATATTTCATATATGCTATACAATACATTTGTTAAATTTAACGTTTAAACACATGTCATTGAAAAACAAAATAAAGGAATAAGAACACAGGTTCTGATAACTTACCAGGCACCCCCTTCCTCCGACAACACACTAAACAATAATATATATACCACGGGGTGACAAATAGTTTAAACATATACTCATTATAATTTCTACGAAGAACAACATAAAACAATGTCGGGCTATTTTAGTCTGTAAATCAATTATCATTCAATCAAACTATGCGGTATCTCGATTGTTTATTAGTTCGATGAAAGCTTTCCTTTTCAAAAACTGAGTTTTCCTCGAAATTTTGAAACATTTTTTTATTTTGTGTAGCACTCACACGAAGCCAATGCTTTTTCTTAATGATGTAATATCAAATTTGTATACACTTTTACACTGCCTACATATACAGTAAAAATAATGGAACACCCGTATATATGTATATTTCAATATTCTTATGACATTTTCCAAGCGCGTTTAGCTGTTTAGATGCTGGTACGCAGGTTCAGTTAGCCGGTTCAGTTCAGTGCAGTTCTTAACTACCTGGAACCTTACGGCTCATCAGTTCAAAATAATTCAGGTGAATCCATCAAATGTTCAAACAAATAAAAAACAAAACAAAACAAAAACACTGTTTGTTGTACTCCTTGTCCTCCTACCGAGTCCCTACCCAGGATCCGTTCCTTAACTAATCCAATCTGAACAAGGGCTGGCTACGCCCTGTTTTCTACATGTATATTATCTCAATGAATTTGTCGAAAGATGTACAGTGACATTTTTTTATTTTCATTTGGAAAAAATGACATTTGGATTCCTCATGTTACAATGAATATAGATGTAATACATGCATATATATTTCATCACCTTTATATCGAAATGTCTTTATCAAGATCGAATTTATATTCGAGTTAAATGTATTACATCGAAGTTTTGATATGTCGAGCTAGTTCGGGATAACAGAGTTTTTTTTACTCTCCCTGATCATTTTCCTAACTTAAACACTCATAACTGATGACACATGTACAGGTTCAACATATCGGGGACTTTTAATTAATTAGAAATGCTAAAAATAAGTCTCAATTTCCCTTTGATGAAAATTCCCCGTTTTTTCAATATAGTTTCGATTAAAAACTGTTTACATTATTACGATGCCCTGGTAGTATTTCATAAGTAGCAACTTATTTTTCTGGGGGAAAAATTCAGCGATCTCCCAGTTGCTGTCTCAGACCTGAGCCAGATACAGCTCCACCGGACCCTTAAACCATTATGTCAATACACACTGGATATTTTATATGATTAATATCACACCTTGTATTTTGCACGTTTTGATTCTCGTCTTGATAGCACATATTCTGTCTTAGATAAATTCCATCAGTATTTAGTTCCGTGGACGATTCACTTTTTTCCTATTGATTACCTCCCTTGATTATAAACTTTCCGAAACGCTTCATTTACATTAATTGTAATTTTAGAATGTTACCACGTAGAGACTTAAAGTTTACAAGTTATTAATTATTGATCCGTGTTTGAAATGTAGCTCTATATTATTTCGGATCCGTTCGCGGCACCTTTTTTCGGTGTAAAGTACACGTATTGCTATGCCAGGTAATTCCTGGAAAAGTTGCTCGACATACTACAATATTTTGGCAGGTCATAGTAACTGTCTTCTGTTTTGAATCTATAAAAATGCCATGCTCCTTCTTGAACTTCATTTTTAACTTCTAAATGTTGGGAATGCATTTTCACTTAGGTAGTGTTGCATGTATATCAAAACTCAATGCATAGATTGTTATTCCCGATATCTTTATTGACTGGTAAAAATTAGAGAAATTATCTTTGATTGTCGACGTTGTCTAGCATAAACTTAAAACATTTAAAATAAACACAGATATTTTATGTATATAACTACTTTATTAAGTCAAATATTACCAACGCGAAAGTTTGCGAGTTTCGTAATAGTTCGTGTCGTTTAATAGGTACTGTATTTATGTAACGTGTAAGATAATTGTTTTATAACGTTGAACGATTTTGAGCTTTTGATTTAGCAAAACAGTTTTCGAGAAAAACTTTAGAGCACAACTTAAGCAGTTATTGATAGCAATACCCGTATACAATTCATTACTCTATCAGAGACGAAACAGAAGTCGATGAGTGTGTTAGGCCAAACAAAATAACTCAATGCTGTGATTTGGCCGGGTTTTCCGCTGTCAATAAACACATTGAATGATTATATATTGAACATTCAAATTATTATGTCAAATTTTTGAGCAGAATGAATGTATAGACATCGTTATGTTTTGGTCAACTTCAGGTAAAAATATCGATGATCCGCGTGAAGTTTTGTAATAAAATAAACAGTGACTTTCGTGGAGTCGCTACTGTTCAGTAGCGATGATTGAATATTTTGTGAAAACATATATCCAATAATATTTTGAATATACCTAAAACGAAGCCAATTTAAAACAGAATCCCGCCCGATACAATGTACATGTACCAAAAGTTTCTTTCGGAATAAAAAGGCTTGTGGAATACATGTGCCAATGGAAAATCACATTTACACAGGTTTCGGTTTATAAAAGTTCCTATTTCGAAAGACTCCTCTGGAAGCATTGTTTGAGTTTATTTTTTTGATATGTGTAGATTTAATAAATCATATCCTTTCTTTTTTCCAGGTAAAAAGAAATCGAACTTTCTGGTGTTACACATCTGACTTTGTCAAGTTTGGAGTAAGTGTCATTTCGTCATGGAGATGGCACGCATTCTAGAAATACCGCGTTTCAACAAATCCACAACACGTCTTGGGTCACCAGTCGAGATAAAAGAAAGGAAGCGGGACCCAATAAGACAGATTCTGGACAGTTTGTGCGAAAATTCGTCTAGAGATTCAAAAATTTCTGAAGAAAATGCGGACAGTGCTTTTACACCTATAATTAAGAGTGGTGCTTCGCCCGAGTTCCTTCCTGAGAGAACTCAAAGTTTGTGTTATGATGCTAGACGGTCAAGCGCGCATGCGTTATCATCAATTCCCGTCCCCGCATCTCGGACATCGTTTCTTCATCCAGCCTCCATTTTGTCCAAAACGACATTGACATCTTTCTACAGTCATGTGACAAATATGGCGCCATGCCCGTCAACGCATGCGTACTCACGTGACCCGTTGTATTTACAAGAACTCTCGCGCATGTGTCATCAACATCAACAATATTTATTGAGTAAACAATATCCAGATTATAGACAACAGCCGCTACCGACTTCCTCGGTAGGTGGCGCTCTCACAAATGGCACACAATGGCTGCCATGGCTGGATGCTTCGTATTTTCCCAATTCAGCGCACGAGACATCACGAGATTTGGCCATGAAACCCGATATCTCAACCAAGGCGTCAAGAATACCGGTGTCGCCACCCAGGTACCATTGTGATGACTGTAAAAAGAGTTACTCCACGTATGGCGGTCTGTCGAAACACAAACAATTCCACTGTGTCACACACGTAAAGAAGGAATTCAGCTGTAAATTTTGTGGCAAATCATACGGCTCATTGGGTGCACTAAAAATGCACATCCGGACACACACCTTACCATGCAAATGTAAACTTTGTGGGAAGGCCTTTTCACGCCCGTGGCTCCTTCAGGGCCACATCCGGACCCACACGGGTGAAAAACCTTTCCGGTGTGAGCATTGCGGGAGAGCCTTTGCGGATCGGTCCAATCTGAGAGCACATCTTCAGACGCATTCTGACGTAAAGAAATACGCCTGTAAAAACTGTAATAAAACATTTTCCAGGATGTCACTTTTGTCTAAACACCGAGAGAACAATAACTGTAGCCTCCATCGGTAGCTGATTGGTTGAAATCAGTTCAGTCAAGATGGCGACCAGTATACAAACATTCTTTATCAAAATAATGGGATCAAGTTATATATCAGTGTTTGTGTGAGCGTGTGAGGCGTAGTTAGCAGTAACGCTAGTGTAGAATAATCAATGCAAATTCATTCCGATTTAATTTCATGAACTGTGTATGGCTTTAAACCTACAGCCTAATGCAAGCGACACGTGTGACTGTTCAACAAGCGTTCTGTCACCACGTAGAGCTGTTTTAAGCCAATCTGTATTGACTGAAGCTTGGTCCAAGATAGGAACACTACGCATGCGCTTAAGGATTACTGTACCAATGCCAAAACTGTAACTGTGTATTGGAAACTGTTTTCCCGGCATGATTATAGATCTGATAAATTATTTCTGTAAAGAAAACCATACATTGGGGGACTTTTTTAGAAGAAGAATTAAAATGAAATGATCTTCGTTAAAATATAAGCAAAGGGGCTAGACCGGGAAGGGAACCCTGAATTTCAGTTTGGTATCTTTAGCCGACCTAGCCACCTAATCAACGGAAGTCTAGTTGCCTAAATGTGCTACCGTTATATCGAAAACGAATTAAGGGGAGGTTACTGTATATACGTAAATCCACAGTGCAGTGGGACAAATATCCTTAATACACAATTCCAGAAAGCGCCGTGTAAACACTGCATTTATGTGTCTAATATTGTTAATGTATCAAATGATGTGTCGTACGAATAATGTGACAATTGACGTGTCGTACGAACATTGTATCAAATGAAGTGTCGTTCGAATAATGTGTCAGTCAGTTAACGTGTCGTTCAATAATGTATCGGATGGTGTGTCATACGAAGAGTGTGCCAATTGACGTTTCGTTCGAACGATGTATCAAATGACGTGTCGAACGAACAATGTGTCATTTGACGTGTCGTTTGAATAATGTATCAAATGACGTGTCGTACGAACAATGTATCAAATGACGTGTCGTCCGAACAATGTATCAAATGACGTGTCGTATAAGCAATGTGTCAGTTTATCTGTCGTTTGAACAATGTATCGAACGACGTGTCGTGTAAACAATGTGCCAATTGCGCAATTTGGACGTTTGACAAATATATTCATTGAGTGTCTAATGCGCGGATCGTGCTGAAACACACGTGTGCTTATTCTGGTTAATGCGTTAAATATATCGTGTGCAAAAATGTGCTGAATTTTAACTATACTTGTCATAATAAGAACATAAATATAGTGCGGAGACGCGTGAAATATGCGTTTAGCTGTATGTTTGAAAAATATTGCAAATGTGGTGATGTGCTCATCTTGTATTTATATTTTTGCTGTGAATTATTTTTAAATACACAAACAAATTTTGCAATGTTTCATAAAGCAGATGTACTGTATAATAAACTGATTTGATAGTTTAATAAAATATATATTTTTGCAGTGAGTGTTCAAAGAGTATTTATTAATGATATACAGGTTGTTAGTTGCCAATAAACAATACATATATTTATGATAAATTTCTGTTTTGTGTTCTTTGAAAAACATGTGTTGATATCGTGCACAGGGTTAGTGTAGTCTAAGAAAAGAATGTATGAGGATACTTTCGAATAATGTTTACGTAAAAATAGCATAAACCCTTGCTATACTGAGACTTTCATTTGTTCAGCGACATTTTATTTTTATAAAAGGATTTGTCAGTACATCGATAGTGAACTGAATTGAACGACTTGTGAGGAACGGAATAGAACCTATATTAATCTCAACTGAGACATTATTTAATTGTTCGTCATTAAGAAATTTGATCATGGTCGTTTTACATGTAAGCGAATTCAACAAAACAAATGAAAGATAAGATATATATGCAATGTGGATATGTCTACAATAAGTTTACATGTTATTTAACTCAAAGAACAAAGACAGCGAAAATACACTTTGTAATTGGTTGGAGACAAAAGGTTGACATATACACTGTGTGTTAACGACACCGGATATTGCTATCAGACAGGCGGTGATCACACGAGGTGGGCTTCTGATGAAGATGAGTGTTTTTGATATTTTCCTAACTTCAGAGGTTTGTATGTTCTGGGGTTTTTTTGGATAAATTCCTCACATTTTCAGCAATGGCTAAAACCACAGAGAATATTCCGAAATGGGTCAATATTTCTAGTATATATAGATATATTGCCTGATAGCAATATCCGGTGTCGTTAGCACGCAGTGATGTACTGGCAACCATAGACTTTGTCTACGACAGGTTAAAATGGAAAGTGAGATGGTTCTATCATTGTGATAAAAAACATGTGAAAGAAAATGTGTCTGAAATACGGGGTTAAGACAATTGGTTCCCTTTTCGTAACAATTATCAACACAACGACAACAATGCATTGATTAAAACAAATCTTATTGCCCAATGGATGGTGAACAAGTTATAAAAACATTGTTTTCGTCCGCTCCAGCGTCAGCGTTGTATATATGCCATGGCCAAATGTGTAGGAGAATAGAATAATACCCCATTCCTCCTCCTAATCCGGCCTTCAGTTTCAGAGATTGTGGAGGGTCTCAACCTTCGTGGAAAAACGTTTGAGATGCCTAACAGTCGGCAAGCCTTGTACTACTATACCATACGGCCCATCACCCCAGGTTGAGATCCTCGCTTCTTGTCACTTAGGAGGTGATATGTTCTATTAACTCTTAATGTTAACTGCGATGACCATTCAACTGGATATTGAAACGGTCTCCATTCCCACAAATATATCCTACATGTTATTAATGAACCCAGTTCGGGATGAAGTTAAAAACACGGTCACATGTATTTTTTTAATGAACATTTGATCCTGTGGTATATTTGTCTACAAGCAGCAATAACGTCTTCTTCGAGTCTGTAAATATGATTAAATTGTATAACGTACAAATTACACGACACAGCCAATTACTTGCCCGTAGTACCAACCATGGACCTGCGCGTGAACTCCTTTCTCAAAGTTAATTAGTCTACATCAAAATACCGCACTTGATGTCTGTATATTTTTTAGCATCCATTGCGCAAACTGATTCAAACTTCCGGTATGGAAAATATTTGTTGTCTTACCATTGGTGGCTAACCAGTGTGTCACATGGGCACGTTCTAAACCGGAAGTTACACATGTTCGTACTGCATGGTAAAGGTTAAATAAAAAACAACACATTGTCTGCTAATACTTGAGACTGAAAAATATTTTTCTTTATCTGTCGTTTGAACGATTAACTACGTACATGGATTTCATGAAATACAAATAATTATATAATACTGTCGCTGATTAACATTGTAAATTATAATAAAAAGTCATTGATTCAGAAAGCGCACATTTCATTTGGGTTTGGTGAAAATTCGGACAAATGGGCCTCTCTTGATCGTAGAAAAAAAAGAGAGAAGAAATTACCCTCGAAAGAGAATATTGACTGTGATACTCTTGTCTGGGGTCTTTTTAGTACGGTATATCTCTGACCTACCCTCAAAGCCGAAAAGTCTTACAACTATTACATCTTAGGTTTTAATATATGTAAAACACAGTAAAACCGTTTCTTGTCAAACGCGTTCAGGGGACACAACCGAGATGTTACATGTCAATTATCTACGTACATTTAGTGTCTTGTCCCTTGCAACGCGATAAAACACAATTTCGAACCTTGGATATAAAATATAGTACACAACTGCAGGGACTGAATAGTACAACACATGCGATATCCAGACGACAGGAGGTTTGAAACCCTATTGTTCCCAGGTTCGAACCCCCGTGTACAAGCAGATGCACGGCTATAAGGTAATACACCTGGAAAGCTATATAGCATTATGATAGCATTATAGTACTCATAAACACTTTGCGGGTCCTAATACTGTGTCATATGTACGAGTTGATGGTTTCACGTGAAGGCAGATGTGTTGTGTTACACGCCTGCACGTGTAGCTTATATATCTCATGAATAATTCATCAGAGACCATTATGACGTGCGGAGTTGGATGTGAGCATCAGCGTGTGATCACGTGATCATCATTAAAACAATCAGCAGATTGAAATTCAAAACTGGTATTTAACAGCATGTCATAACAAAGAATTACAAAACAAGAAATTAGATAAGATTAGATTAGATTAGATTATTTTATTAACCTCGAGTCAACTGACTCATGGGTATACTACATATATTACAAGATGAGTACAACGTGTTATGCAATACAATACAGAATAACATATGGACATATGTTAAGAGGACAGTGACTCTTTACGTACACTTGTTGCCAAATGTTAATATTTTCCAAGATTAAAAAGTTCCCTTACATCATTGGTACTTAATAGTTGAGTTAGATTAAACACACTCGGACTTAAACGATAATATTTCTTTATGTACTTTAACCTTAGATTTTCATAAAATGGACATTTGAGAATAAAATGAAACTCATCTTCAATGTCACCTAAATTACATCTAGTACACAGTCGATTATGACGGTTTTTATTATTCCGCCTCCCGACCTCAATATTTAAAGTCTATAGCGAGTAATTTGACGCTTGAATTTTGATTTGATTGACTTACGCAAATAAAACTGTAAGTCGACATTGTCTATCAGGTGTTGATATAAATACCCCTTTGAAGAATTTGAAATATTTGTTAACATACTTTGTCGTGAAACATCGAGCAATCTTTGTTCTATAATCTTTGCCGCAATATTAATAGGTAAGTTTTCCTCAAAGATATACTCCAAACCCATACTAGCTAATTATTGCCTAATATTAATTAACCAGTCCTCATTTCCACTTATACGCTCGTCATAGCAAGCTTTTAATATACAGTTATCGCTACATTTCACTTTTAACAAGTATTTAAAAATCCTCAGTTTCCTTTGGACTATATGGGGGAATCTACCAAGTTCACAATAAACCAGATCATTATTAGTGCATTGTCTGACTCCCAGAATTATTTTACAAAAAATTAAATGAACTTTATTTACACCAGGTGCTTTGTGAAATCCCCAGATTTCTGAGGCATAACACAACATACTGTTTACATAGGAGTCAAAAATAGTAAACTGAGTTTCAATATTAAAACAATAATTGCGTAATGAAGATGTTAAGGCAAACATTGCCTTTCTTCCTTGATCAGCCACATGCTTCTGTGTTTTAAAAAAAAATCCATTATAATTAAAAAGCATACCTAGATATTTGAATTCATCCACGATATCAATGTTTGTATCTTTATAAGACCACGTTTCATTATTTCGTAAGTTACCACCATTTCTAAAAACAACTATTTTGGTTTTAGATATGTTGACTTCCAGATCCCATGTGATACAATAATCCTGCAGGGAGTCCAGCATAGATTGGAGACCTTCTGGTGTTTCTGATAGCAGCATCATGTCTTCGCATACATGATCAAAAATAGGTTTATAAGTTGCAGTTCTACACTTGGGCAATTGTCTTTTATGAAATTGATCTCAAAATCATCAACATATAAAGAAAATAAAACTGGTGACAGTACTTCGTCCTGTAAAAGTACAATCTTGTTGCAAAAACTATCACTTAGGACTCCATTATACTTTACACATGATTTAACTCAATCAAAATTTGAAGGAACTTACCTCTGATACCACAATTGATCATTTCACACCATAACTTGCTTCTATTAACAAAATCAAAAGCTTTTTTAAAGTCTACAAAACAGCAGTACAAACGCTTTTTCTTAAATAGAAATAGACATACACATTATAAACATATAAATGTATAGAGCGCTTTACAAATCTTGTATATTATTATTACAAAATAAAAAAAAATCATTACAAGTAAACCATGTTTACAGGTAAAACATACACTACAGGTAAAACATGCACTACAGGTAAAACATACATTACAAGTTAAACATGCACTACAAGTAAAACATGTACCACAAAACATGCACCACAGGTAAAACATGCACTACAAGTTAAACATACCCTACAGGTAAAACATACACTACAGGTAAAACATGCACTACAGGTAAAACATGCACTACAAGTAAAACATACATTACAAGTTAAACATGCACTACAGGTAAAACATACATTACAAGTAAAACATACATTACAGGTACATTATTCTCTCTGTACATGTGATATTATTGAAGTTCAATGTACTAACATCGATATCAATAATAATAAGACACTACAGGCCCGTACAAAAAAACAATTATCATGTTTGTTTATCAATAGTTTAAAATACCTTACGATATCATGTTGATAGTAACAAACAAAATCGAGTTTTTTTTAATATTTAACAAAATACTAAAAACGACGATACTTGAAATAACTCAATATTTGATGTAAACATTTTTTAAAATGGAAATCGTAAAAAACCAAGACTAATGCTGAAAGTGGGTAATATGAATTCCCATACTCAATAGACCCAAATAATTTTAATTTGTGTCAACGAGAGCCCGAAAGATTGTATAGCTCATTAAATCTCAATCTAGCAAGGCTTTTCA